TTGCAGTAAACTTTTGCAGTAAATGTTTTGCAGTAAACTCATCATACTCCAATATAGTGTCTACATTATTGAAAATCCTTTCATAGACACAGGTCCATTAGACGTACTATTACAAACTAGCTATATAAAAATTATCGATTCATGCTTTTGGTAATTAGGCCTATAAAAGGCTGTTTTACCCAAAACTTATTGGCTTTTCCACATACGTATAGACGTTATTTTTTCCATCTACTAACAAAAAGAGGGCCCCAACAAAAAGTAGCATTTAAAAGCGACTTTAAATCAAATTATGTTGCTACGTTGGGCCACATAATAGTTGAAAAATTGTTTAAAATGATTGATGGTCAGGGATCAATGTTCCAAAGCACTAACCTTGAATGAAATATTAGAATATCGGGCTGAAAAATGGTTCTCGGACAGGGGAAGCATAAGAAAGCCATTTTATCCAAGAGAAAAAATAATCATAGAGGGATGTTGCCAGTAACGCTTATGCTTTGCGTCTTGCTTGAATATTTTATTTCGTAAGGTAATGGAGATTGACTCTTAATGATTAAGCAAGGCAGTGATAATATTTAAAAATATACAGGGTGTTTCATATACAGGGTGTGTCTTAAATAATTGCAAATATTTTCAAGGCTGGTAGATCTCGATAAAAAAAACATATTTTCTATTTACCATTTTTCAGATCAAGTCCAAAATAACCGAGTTATTTAAGTTTGAAAATTTTAAAAAAATGATTTTTTTTTAAATTTTGAGAGCCACCAGATTTTTTTCTGGAGTTGCATCCCTTTTATTGCCGTAACCATAGCCGTCCTATGGTAATATCTGGGATTAAGAAATTATACCTTGGGAAGATTTGCGGTGAACAGGCAGTTCTAAAAAGTTTTCGATACAGGGAAATTTAAAAGAAAATGCACGATTTTGCACAAATGCACAAAAAAAAATATATACGTGTGCCTGGGATCGAAATATACCACCCCTGAAAATATTTGCATTTATTTAAGACTCACCCTGTATAGTCTCTCCAACGACAACATTTTTGACAGTGGTAGATGTCTACCATTTTGATGTCAAAGTAGTTCATTTTATTTTACAATGAAATAAGTTGTTAGAATTGAAATTCAAAGCGGGAAATTAATATATTTAAAATTTTAGTAACAAATTAGTAACTTCAAATAATATGAAATAAATGTATAAAACTGAACAAATCTAATCGAATTATTTTATTTAAATTATATAGATGTGTGTTACTAAAACACTGTGTGTTAAACAAGGGGGTAGATAAGGGGGGGTACTGGGGGACAGTACCTTCCCCCCTGACGCTTGACGAGATACGAGAATTGAAATAGTCATTGACTATAAAAGGATTTTTTTTAATTAATATCCGACATATAAGAACACTTTGTATGTTTTTAATTATGTTGATTTATCGTTTATAATATGTTCGACCTAATTAAAAGCACACAAAGTGTTCTTATTGGCCAGGACAGATTAGTGGGGTTAACTCTAATCAATATCCATAAAGATATTGAAATAAATCTTGATGCTGTTATTGATAGGTTTTCCAAACAGCGTACTAGAAAACTTGGTTTTGTTTTGTAGTTTTATTTATAGTTTATAGTTTTTATAGTTTTTTTTGATAGTTTAGAGTTTTTTATTTATAGTTTATAGAAAATTAACTAATAAACGTCGTTGTTTCATTTTTGTTTATGTTATTTACAAATCTATATTTTAATTTTTGTGTTATGTTTTTATATCTTTTTGAAGACAAAAAAATCGCCGTCGTTTTAATTCGACAAAAAAATTCCGACGGTGATTTTTTTTGCGACTTAATCATAATACCACCCCCATAGCATACACCTATCTACGCCCCTGGTGTTAAACTAAACACCACATACAAAAAAAAATCTATAAAAAAGAAAAAAAGAACCAGTTCTTACTCTCAAACTTCAAGAAACTTGCATTTATTATTAGATTTATCAATATACCTATTTATGTAAAATATAAATTTAATATTGCACAGGACTAAATAACAAAATATTTTATTACTAATAATTTCAATAATTTACAAACACTTACTCAATTGTACAGGGTGTCCCTCACAGCTCTCGGATGTTTCTCGGAAAGTATTAGCCGTAGGGCCGGCGGAAAAAAATATTTATAACCAAAGAGGCCATGAGAAATTGTTGGAAATTATTTTCAAGTTTGTAGAATAGCCGCTAGAGGGCGCAACTGCTATAAAAAATAAGAACTTAGAGTTTTTACACAAGTTTGCCTAGATAAGGGGTACTATAAATAATAGCTTCATAATCTTCAGTAAATTCTGAATATTTTTTGTTAGAACCGTTTTCCCCTATCTGCCAAAATAAAGTGGTGGGGGTAGAATGTAGAATGTTTAGGAGGGGAGTTAATCACCGCGACCTTATAGATCTATTGTGTGTTCCCCTTTCTTGAGTTATAACGAGTTATAACTCATCATACAGTCTCACAAGTGGTGGGGGTAGGTTAGATCTGATCTCTTAATTATTAGATATTAAATATATCGGTATTATGGTATTCTGGTATATTGTCGATTTTAAATAATCTAATCGTTTCTATCTTATTTTTTTATTAGAATGGGTATAATAAAAAGCGCTACTGATGCCGTGTTATAAAAATATGGTAATTAAAAGCTTATATATATTTTCCTATTTAATATAATTTTGCTAATATCTTCGGTTTGAAAGAAGAAATCAAGATGCGGTTTTCACTGACTTTTTAAGCTTTCATTACTCTTTAATATCAGCTAAAATTACATATACCATCGCATTTAATTTTTTTGAAAAAATGCACAATGTTTGTTAAATTGCAAGACAGCGCCCCCTATCGTCTACGTTCAAAGGCTTATTATTATTATTTTTATGGTATAATATAGAGTAAGAAACGCTCTTTTAAAAGAGCCCTCATTTGTTGAATTCTGATCATCCAGTCCGGAGTTATTAACATTTATATAAAACCAGATCTAACCTTTCCCCACCACTTTATTTTGGCAGATAGGGAAAAATGGTTTTAACAAAAATTATTCAAAATTTACTGAATATTATGAAGCTATTATTTATAGTACCCATTATCTAGGCAAAATTGTGCAAAAACTTCTTTTTCTTATTTTTTTATAACAGTTGCGCCCTCTATCGGCCGTTCTACAAACTTGAAAATAATTTATAGCAGGTTCTCATAGCTTCTTTAGTTATAAATATTTTTTTTCGCATGCCGTACGGCTGATACTTTCCGAGATACAACCGACACCTATTCTTAGTGGGACACCCTCTACATCTACCTTAAAATTTAGTTAATTAACTTTAATATTAATTTTTTAAAACCACTAACTTTTGACAGTACTACTACAGTATTAAGCTACTGTATGATTGAAAAAAACTGCGTCCATTTGGCTTGAAAATCGATGACAATTCCCTATTCCCTATATACTTTTACGTATATGAATTTTACATATAAAATTGCGATCTTCATTTCATAGCCATCTCTGACGCCGTTTTTTTTCGATCATATTGTATTATTATTTGCCTATCGCGTGATGTGTGATGTCTTTATTTTACAGCTACTCCAGTTTTTAGTACCATATCCGAGATGGTATACAAACCTTTATTGGTGGCTAATACCGTATGATCGAATAAAAACGGCGTCAGCGATGGCTATGAAATGAAGATTGCTGTCATTTTATGAGTAAATTTATATGGGAAATGTCATCCATCGTCATTTCCCAGCCAACTGGACGCCATTTTTTTTTCGATCATACGGTACAACTCTCTGGGTCTACTTTTCACTTGATTTTTCCTCCACTTAACTTTAAAAACACAAACACACGTAATATCACAAACCAAAATGCCTAAAGCAATATCGCAAATATTTATGTTTTTCCAGTGTGATATGTGTTTGAAAGAGACAGAGAATAGATATTTGGTACGATCTTTATATCATTAATAAGACTATTTCAAATAACTGCGATACATCATTGATGTTGGGACGATATAGAAGCTTTTAAAATCCGTAATATATAGTCTTATTTAAAAAGAGAAAATTGATGATGACAGTTCAAAGACGAAACGTCGCGCGTCGGTTTGAAAATCTGATAACATCCTGTAGGACATTGAGGGACACCCTGTACATAACTCTCATAATAACAATTTTGTAATAATATATATCGATAATTTAAAATATCGATATATGGTATACATTCCTAATATGGACGAATCGATATATTTGTACATCCCTACTCAAGATACAACCCGATAAGTCATAAGATAAAAAAACAGTCCCAAAATTTGATTTATGTATATGCGAAGAAAAAATGCCCTGTTGTGGAGTCTCGTGTATTACTCAGTCATCCCATAGATATTTTACATAAAAATTACTTATCGCCGCACCCCTTTTTCAGAAGAATATCTCCGAAACATGCCCGGGAATACATTGCCGGCATAAACGTTATAAATAGAAACTGCAAAACGCCGTCCTTTAGTATCGGTCGGCCTTTTATTATATCTCCCAGTATCTCCAAGCTCATGAAATATTTATTTGCCAAAACGAAAATATTACGAAGAGAGGGCTTTGTTGAAATAGATGCGACCCTGAAAAATAGGGTTGCCTAATAACCGCTATTTTTTGAATAATTTCAAACGCAAACAAACTCAAAAAAACATTTACAGCAAGAATTTTATGGAATTTATGATTTATTTTATATTTTTGTCATTACTGACACCTCCTAATCCGATACATTAGTTATTAATGACTTAAAGACTATTTATTTATTATATCATTTTTCTACCACAGTTTATTATTAAAAAAATTAAATTAAATTTTATGTTAATGTTTCGTGCTCCATCTCTACGCGACTGCCTGCACTAGCCGTTTTTTCAAAACAAATTCCTATTCTATAAATCCACAATACAAATCTCAAATCTGTGGGCACCGTATTTGAACTAATTTTGAAAACTAATCTTTGGTCAATCAGTAAATGTCATTGTTGATGTTTGGTGTGGGTGTTGTAGTTTTGTTCCTCCGCTAAAAAAACTGGTTTTTAAAAGCTATTATTTACTGTGAAATATGATTTAATTGTATAAACAAGGAAATGGCATCTATTTCTCTACCCCGTGTGCTGCATCCGAGGAAAACCAGTTTGGAAATCGAGAGGGAAAACTTCGAAAAGGCACAGGTGCAAAATTTTGTATTTTCTATCTTATTTCTTATATAGAAATGTATTTAAGTATGTATATTTTTTATTATTACCGAATATGTACGTACGTGCTTAAGTAGAATTTAATGAGAGCGAAAATTTCTCATGCTATGAGTCATTTAACTTAACACATCAAGGTTTTTCAGGAATAGGAAGGTTCAAATACATTGTTTATGTACATATTTGGAATTTAAAATACCATCGATATATTTCGTCACTCTTTGATTTCTATTTTGCATGTTCTTAGACAGATTTTTTTAATGAAGGAAATAGGGTTCTAGTTGACTTCTTTTTTGGAGCAAGTGTTTACATCCTGTGCATTTTGGTTTGGTCTCTCCACACTTCAAAAAGGAAACTAAAATTAATCTGTATGTGTCAAAGACCTTTTAATAATATACTTTTGCCTAAACATAGCCTGAATTTCAATTACTTACATCTTTTAAACTATAACAATCTGGAACATGTGTTATCTCAATTATGAAAGTTTTAATTAAAAATAACACACATGTTGTTTATACAAAAGTAATTAATAAAAAGAAATCAAAAATCAATTAATTTCGTAATTTTCGTGCCATGATAAGTTATCTATAAATACTTTATCAATATATTTGTTATCAGCTTTTGCAGGTGAAAACTTTTTAAACTCCTTCTATTTCAGTTTCAGATATGCATGTAATCATACATAATATAATGTGAAGCTTGTTCTCTGCATATTTAAACTTACAAACTAATCTTGCATGCCTAAATATATATATTTATTTCCATTTTTTTGTGCGAATGAAGCAGTAATGCTGTAAAAATGGCTAGAGAGTATACTGGAAAAGACTATGATAAATACGTAAGTATCTCATTAAGTTTAATTATTGTTTATTTTGTCATTGACATACATGACTACCTATATGTATAGATGCACCGTTATTTTTTCTATAAAATACAGTAGTTTTAAAGAAACCTGCTAATTATTTTTATAGCTCAGAGATTTTACAATCCAGTGAGTATGTATGTATGTGAAAGTATAGAATAAAGCAGACTTATTGAAGTACTAATCTACTGTTTTAATAATCTCCATTAATATGTTAATTACAATAACGTAGAGCAATAAATAAAAAGCAAAATTATGTTTTTTCTAGTTCTTTTTTGAGGAAAGTGGCTAATATACATTTAGTAAATTATAATTTTATATACAGGCTGATACTTTAAAATAAAAGAAAAATTTTCTATAAATGTGCTTGCCTAATAATTAAATGCAGATCTTATTTATTGTTTATGTAATAATTGATAATTATTAGAATTTCAAAAGTTTTTTATTTAATTACTTACTGAATTGCTGAATATTAGTTTATTGCATAATTACATTTTGCTTACATAATTCAGAAGCGTCCATACATTTGTTTTATTTAATTTAATCTAAAATAAAAATAAGAGGTAGATAATTTAAGTTAAAATAAGAGGAGTAACCTTTGAGTTCCCAGATTTGGATTTGAATAAAAAACATTAAATGTGTTTAATGTATCTCTGTACCTTTTGAACAATATTACTGAAAAATACTCACCAAATTTTGGTAAAAACTTGAATTTTTGATATAATTTACTTGAAAGATCCAAAAACGAATTGTGAATGATTTTTTTAAATTCACCCCGAAGAAGGGGTGAAATAAATAAATAAACTTACTTTTTCGAAATTTTCGAGAAACTTGTTATGATATAGTCAGTCTAGCGAGTGAATGTATAGACAGGCAACATTCAAAAAATGACAGAAACTTACTTTGGTATTAAAATGACAGACTGTGAGTGTCAAGTATTTTCTCTCTAGACAGACTGTAGTTATTAATACCATACGATCGAAAAAAAGCGGCGTCAGCGATGGCTATGAAATGAAAGTCCCTCTCATTTTATATTTCTACGCCGTTTTTTCTCGATCATCCTGTATATAAGCATGATTCATTTTCTAATAGCATCTCATTTCTTAATAGCTTTAACTACGTTTAAAGTTGCCCACAGTATATGTCCCCGGATTATCTTTACAAGAGGAAAAACTTTTTTATTAACATTTTGAGATAAATGCATTCTTCATAAAAAATTTTACTCTTTCTAAAATGGTTAATCCCGTTTATACTATTCCAAATTTTTCTGCCGTTAGACTGAATTAAAAAAAAGATTTTTTTCGTGTAAGTTTTTTCAAGTTAAAATTTTTATGAAGAATGCATTTTCCTCAAAGTCTCAATAAAAAAAAATCCTCTTGTAAAGGCAATTCGGGGACATACTGTATATCGAAATCCAAAAACTTTTGAAATATTAGTGTTATTTTCTCTCTACTTTATTTTTGACGTAAACTTGAAATTATTTTAAAAAAGTTAAACTTAGATATAGAACGCATAGACTAGAATATAGACTGCATAAGTGTGACGTCACGTCAGTGGGCAGAAAAAAAGACAGGTTCTAAACAAAGCCGTAAATGCAGGTAAAATTAGTTCGTTGTAATAGAACATTCAGATTTCTATCTAAACTATGTCCTAAAATACTTTTAATCAAAGAGCTTGGTGAAAACCCTTGTGTATGCATATAGTAAGGAGTTTAATGATTGAACAGCAATGCATATTATTCCTTTTACAGTCCCAGGCGCTACAGAAAGCTATAAACGGTCAAGAATGTCCGGTCAAGCAGAAGCATGTCCGTTCGGCCATCATAGGCACGTTCCAAACTCAGAGCGCCAAGATTTTTTGGGCCTACGCTCTGAGACTACCGTCCCTTGATGATCGCATCGTAGCATGGAAACTGTGTCACGTAGTTCATAAAATTCTTAGAGAGGGGCATCCATTATGTTTGGTGGACAGCCAGAGACATAGAAAGGTAAGTTTCTTTTTATCCCTCCACACAATGATATCAAATATACATGGCCCTGCAACAGTGTGTCAGGCATCTGTAGCTCCTAGAATAACGAGCTTAGAGATTTTACAAAAAAAAGACAAAATTAAAAGCGGCATGCAGTGTTGCCGGTTTGTAGGTGTGTTTTTGTAGGAAAATGTATAGATGTAAATAAGTTATTTTAAAAACTTTCATGTATATTACTGAAATGGAGATATATCTAATCTAAATATAATCCATTACAGCTGTAGTAAAATGAGTAACTAATTGTGAAAAATAAAGTTTCAACCCTAGATGCAACATTTTTCGGAAACACCTACTTTTTGATGCAAAATCCGGCAATACCGCGTAGAAGAAATGTACCAACCGAACTTTTTTCTCCCTTTAATACATTTGATTTGTCATTAAGCTGCCTACATCACTGTCTTACACGTTAAAATCCAGACCACACTTCTAAAATGACCAGGTCGGTATATTAAAAATATGAGTTGTGTTCTAAAATCAAAACTATGCTAGGTACTTACTATAATTTAATCTGTACTTACTTTTTTATAAACATCGTAATCTTAAATCATACGGTGTGCTCAAAATTCCATGCCAAACTTTCTAAAATATAAAATATAATAAATACAAATATTTTTCTTCGCTCTTTTTTAAATGGAACACCTTGTATATTATTTTTTGTTAGGTAGGGAATTAAAAAATGAAAATCTTTTGTAAATAAAGTATTTTAAAATTTTTAACGGTTTCGCAGATATTGGCGGTATTATTAGACCGTATGATCGAATAAAAACGGCGTCAGTGATGACTATGAAATGAAGATCGCTGTCATTTTATATGTAAATTTATATGGGAGATGTCATCGATCGTCATTTCCCAGCCAACTGGACGCCATTTTTTCTCGATCATACGGTATTATCTTTCAACTCTAAAATATCAGACAAAATTACTGTTGAAAAAACCATATGTAATATAGTCAAATCAAAACCAAATCAAAAATATTCTTTATTTCTTTGTCTTTGTATATCAGCTTACATTAGTTGTATATTAGTTAAGGATAATATATACAATCTAGAGTTTGAAAGCTCTGTTTTATTAAAAAAAAATTTGTCAAAGGAATTGGATGAGATTGGCAAACTATGGGGACACTTAAGGGAAGGTTATGGCAAAATGATCAAACTCTACACAGCTCTGTTAATCAACAAATTAGAATTTCACAGGCGAAATCCTCGATTTCCTGGACATTTGGGTGTCACTCCAGACGAACTGGAAAGCATTGGAGGAAATGACGTTAATAATATGTAACTTGGCACATTATTTAAGAAATAATTTACTAAAGGCTTGTTCTTTTTAGATTTGACATGACGATCGAAATGTTCGACTATTTAGATCATATTTTAGCTCTACAAGAAGCAGGTAATTTACATTCTATAGAATCACTTATGCACCTGCGAAAAGTGGACCACCCTGTATTACTAATACGTTATATTTTACAGTTTTTGGGTCATTAAATATGGCCAGATCCAATTCCATGACCAGTGCGGGCCAGTGTAGACTAGCACCGTTAATTCCCTGTATTCAAGGTAAAACTTACTCTTAAAATCGTAAACAAACTGCTTATATGACGTCGTTTTTTAGATGCCTCTAAACTCTACGACTACTCGGTAAAATTATTGTTCAGGCTGCATTCAACTCTGCCCGCAGACATATTGGCTGGTCACAGAGAAAGGTTCCTAAAACAGTTTAGAGCTTTGAAAAAGTTTTACGAGAGTACCAGTAATTTGCAGTACTTCAAAGACTTGATTGCGATTCCACCATTGCCAGAGGTACTATATTTGATTTCACTAAACAAAAAAAATTAAGAAAGAATAAAAAGCAATCCAAAATCATTTAAATAGTTGGCTATTCTGATTTTGTTCATTTGGTTGGCAATAAATTTAAGAAATTCGAAGCTTTATCAGCTATTAGCACTAGCGTCAAAATAAACCAAAAACTTGATAATATCGTTGATTGAAAGAATTGGGAAGATACGGAACCGAATGGGCAAATTTGTGACAAGGCTGATTTGATTTTCTTTTATGTCTCAAGTGCTGTACGGTGGAGCCTCTACTCGTTCTGCTGCCAACGCATAAAACACTCATTTTTTCTAATTTGGTTAGTGAAGGGATATCGAAGACGGTGTGGAACCGAAAGCGACAGTGTTGCCATATTATAATGTGTAACATCTGTAATACGTTTGTCGAAATTATCTTTGGATGAAAAATCCGCGTTTATGTATTGAAAATTTATTCGTGTTAAACATAGAATAAACAACAAAAATAAAAATTCTTTTGTAGGTTCTGAACATTTCGTGATCGAAAATATAATCGAAAAAAGTCATTTAGTTGGCTTGGAAATGACGACTATTGACATTTACCATAATATTTTACATATGAAATAACAGCGTTAAATAATAATCTTCATTTCCAAGCCAACTCTGACGCCGTTCTTTGTTTAATCATATAATATTATATTAATTTGTTTAATGATAGAAAATCCGTATTATTAACATACTGTACCTAAAATCCGTTAATCTACGGATTGAACCGTAGTTCTGGCAACACTGTTTCCGTCATGCACCCGCTCTGTCGACTGAAAGCAGAACTACGGTACAGTATTCCATAGATAAACGAAGTAAATTTAGATTGGAATGCCTGTCAAAATTTTGTGTCGCGAAAATATTTTGGGTCGCGACCGTTGTACGCGATCTGGCGCTACTATAACGGTTGTTAAGAATAACCGCAAACAAAAACAGAAATATTTTTTTCTTGTCCATATCTCTTGTCAAAGTCCGATTCTTTAAAAATTATATAATCTTTCAAATTCTAAACCGCTCTCATTGAAAACATTCCAAAAAGTGTTTAAAGCGTCCATTTTCAAAGTAATTATTGCTATCTTGTGAGTTTAATTTAAGTTCTATTTACTTAAACCCGTGATAATTGTGAAAAAGTGGCATTAAAAACTTATAAAGCTGTGCTGTGAACTGGAAAACCCATCGTGGACCGTGGCATAACGTTGGTTTCCAATGTTTCATAGGTATTTCATACATGTCTTTATATAAAATAAAGTTTCTTGTATGCAACATACTGTATTTTATTTATAAAATGAAAAGAAAATAATAAATTTGAGTAGACAATATTTGGCGATATAATTCCGGAAAAAGCCGAACAGGTCCGACTAGCGCCAAATAGTGTTTACACTGTCCTTATGGGTACTTTGCAATCTAAATTTGTTTCATTTATCTATGGGTACAGTATTCTTTATCCGCTGCGCTGTAAACTTTGAATAGAAAGGCTGTAAACGACCAAGGACTGTATATATTCTAAAGGACTGTTCGATCGCGTCAAATCGCCGCTGTCGTAGTCGCCGTGGAATGCTACGTCACGCGCTGACCAGCGCTCCACAGTGCGGCGGATGGTTATTCTAGCGGGACAAAATTTCAAGAGCAATGTTTGGGACTTAAAATCTAAGAACGTAGCAAATGGTCTAATATATAGCAACTATATGGTTAAATTTATTTATTTATTAACAACTTAATTTATTAATAAATAAATACAAGATAATAAAACTATGATATTATTCGTACATGACACACAAAAACCGTATTGTAAACTATTGCCAAATACATAAAATTATGATATCAGGTGAAATACTTACAAAAAACTCTTTAGCAGTTATTTTTTAATTACTTTGTAATCTTGTGACACCCCCTATATTTTATTTTAAAAAATTATATTTTATTTTAAAAATATTAATTGAGATAGATATTTTAATTTTAATTTTAACACTCGGTAATTGTAAATTCATATATAGAAAGTATCTAAGACAATTTTTTAAACTCAGTGCCTTTTGATGGAGTTGTTTTGTTTTTATACTATCCGATTAAAATGAATCTTTTTGGGCATTCACCTGTTAAGCTTGAACTCCCTGTGACTGTGACTACCTGTGTTGGTAACTATTGGTAACTCAAAAGATCTACATCATTCAATATATCGATATTTGAAAAAAAAGTGAAAGTTTGATATCTGCAGAACAAAGGTACGAAGGATTTTAACAAATAATATAAGTACAGTAGAAAAGTACATACTTTTGGCAATCTTCAACATAATTTGGCCTTGGTTTGGTTTGGTTTGGTGAAATGTAAAATGTGTGTGTTTGGTAAAATGTATAAGCACTTGTAAATATTTTGTTTTCGTATGATCTCTGCCTTGCTGAGCAGAAAACGACCAAATTTGGTTGATAAAAATGTATCGAAATACAAAGCATATTCATGCATTTTTGTATCAATTGGATTGTCTACTATTTATTCTTATCAGTACACATTTTTTGGCTTATTTCTAATCAAACGCTTTATTTGTCCCGCTAAATTTATCTTCCAACGCACTGTGCGCTCGTCCGTCAAATGCAAAAATAACTGTCACTGTCTAAAATCTTTAGCGCCAACTTCAACTCGGTCAGTAGATGGCGTAAAAAAACTGACAGTGCAGGAAGATAGGAATCGAACTATCCTTATCTCTATAGTATCCTTGATAAACGACTATCAGCATGCAGCGGCGCAGAATTAACTAAATCTCGGACAGGTTGACTAGCGGCGACGGTATCGCCAGGACAACATCTCGGAGACAGGTTTTGTGCCACGAAATCGTCCATAAGCTTGCGCATCTTCTTTCTTATTTCTTCAATCAACGTTAACATCTATTACAACAAAGATTACAACAATGTATTGTCAACTATTTCAGTCATTTTGGATCGCTTCGTACAAAGTCACCAGTAATTTGACATTTACCTGTATTGTTGTCAAATGTCGATACATAATGAAGCTTAAACTTGGCATAAACTCATATACTGTTATTTTCTTTAAATTAATACTTTAAATAGCTATGGAGTTGGTATCTTATTTTAGAAACCACCCAATTTCCTTATAATGGGTGATCTTCGGGATTACGTAACTCAAGAGGTGGTCGTTCCGCAAGAACCCGAACACGAGGAAGAACCAATTCAGGAAGAAACACTGATCGACACTACCGACGATTCTGCGCAGGACAGTAACAAAGTCAGTTTCGTGGTGCATCAGGAAATTCTGGAGCAGAGGGAGTTTCTAAAGATGCAGTGTGAAAAATTAAGGTATTTAGTTAATTTCTGTGGTATTTGATCAACAATAGAGCCCCCACAGAGTAACTAGTTTTTTTCTAAAAGAACTTAAATTATTAATCTTTTTAATAACTGCTTCCTTATTTGCTTCTGAATCAATCAATCTTTAGTTTTTCTACCTTTTTTTTTTAATTTTCCATAAAAATGGCATGCGATGACTATGAAATATAGATTGCTGTTATTTTATATGTAAAATTATATGGGGAATGTCATCGATCGTCATTTCCAAGCCAATGCTAATAGAATAGAATGACATATCATATGTTAACTTTTGACACTCTTGCATAGAAAAAATAGTATATTAAATTGCAGTCTGGAGTGTCATGGCTGTGTTAAAAACACTAATATTTAATCGAGGGACTTTAGAGAAATAGATTTTATCGTCTAATGTTTTTCGTGTCTTGTCATGGCCAGTTAAAGGCTATCCAAATAGTATTTTTAATCGTAACTCATTTTTTTAAATGGAACGAGGGTGGCTCGCATATTTGCAAAAAGCATTTTTTACGAATAATTTGGTACTATACGCTTGGTATTTCGAATCAAATTGTCGTTACATTTATGGCCATGGCACTCTAAATTGAAATTTAAAATGCTATTTTCTTTTAATTGAAAATGTCAAAAGTATACCGGAATACCGGGTGCGTCTCAAAAGTGGCTCACCCCTATAACTTTTTTATTTTTTCAGATAAAACAACGAGATTTGGTATGCTAGTATATTACATAAATTAGGATTGATTGACATACTCAGTTGTTTTTGGTCACTTCCGGTTCACCGGAAAAGACTACAACTTTTGGTTTTTAAATGGCATCCTCGGTATTTTATTACTTTATTCGATAGAAAACGACACTCTCAATAGAATGACATATCATATGTCAACTTTTGACATTTTCGCATATGGTTTATTTGAAATTGTAACATGCGGTTCACAACGACAATTTGACTCGAAATACCGTGTGATATCAAATTATTCGTAAAAAAATGCTTTTTCTAAATATGCTAATGAGCCACCCTCGTTCCATTAGAAAAATTTGAGATATTACTAAAAATACGATTTAGGCATCTTTTAACCGCTCAGGACAAGACAATAAAAACATTAGACGATCAAATCTATTTTTCCAATGCATCTTGCTTAAAAATTAGTGTTTTTAACACAGCCATGGCACTCTAGATTTAAATTTAAAATACAATTTGTTTTTAAGCGAATATGTCAAAAGTTGACATATGATATGTTATTCAGAATTCAGTAAAAATATAGTAAAGTTCATCAGAATAAAGTAAAAAAATACCCAGGGTGCCATTTAAAAATCAAATGTTGTAGTCATTTCCAGTGAAACAGGAAGTGGCCAAAATCAATTGAATACGTCAATCAATCCTAATTTATGTCATATTATACTAACATACCAAATCTCGTTTTTTATCTAAAAAAATAAAAAAGTTTTCTATGATGGTAAAGCATTTCATTTACACCAGTTTTTTGTTTTTTTTCTGTAGAGGAGAAATAAATGCACTTATGTCTAAAAATCAGAAGGATATTACACTTTTAAAAGATAAAATCTCATCGTTGGAACATGACTTAGCTTTAAAAGAGAGTGAACTGGAACATGAGAAACATATAAAAGAGGATCTTCTGAACCAGAGTTTTGCAGTGGCCCAAAGTCAGGACTCTGAGCGTAAGTTTTATTCAATATACACATTGTCTCATGTAAGAATTCACACTACATTTTGTGTTTATTTTTTCTCGCTATTTGAAAAGATATGACAAAAATATTGCATTCTCATATTGCTCCCGCTCTACAAGATTTTTTTGCGTTTTATCTTGCGTTCTCATCTGAGACGCCTTGTATTTCAATAATTTAAACGAAGTAATATTTTTTGATTATAGAAAAACAATTTCACGAGAAATTTGACAAACTTAAGGCCATTTACGTTAAACTACGAGATGAGCATGTAGCTGAATTAAGGAAGGTAGGTTATTGTGAACAAGAGAGCCTTAAGTCACGGTGGGCCAAAAAGTTAGCTATAAATGGGATTTTTAATTATTGAGTTATTAAAAATAAGTTTGTGTGGAATTTTATCAGTATGTCCAATAACAAAAAGAAATCCATCATAGTGTCCAATAACAAAATTATGTTAACACTAGCGTGTAAGGCTCCGCGCGCACTGCATCGGATCGGACCAGCAAAAGCGACTGCGACCATCGTACATATAGACGGCACCGGCGTCCACTAAAACATTTCGGCCTGTAGAGGCCAGATTCCTACCTCTACCTATCTACGATAGTCGAGTCACCGCCTTCGCCGTTTCTCGCCGGACTGGTACCGATTCAGTGCGCGTACACCTTAAAAGCGCGACTTCGTTCGCGTCAAATTAATAATTTGTAATGGTGATGATAAAGCAAAGAAAGAATTTCCCTTAACATACAAACTGGATAAAATTTTCTCACATTTATGTCAGCATGAGAAAAAACAATATGGCGATATTATTATATAACTTGGTAATATTTGAGGGGTAGTTTCATCTCGTTGGAATTTGACTTTCGACAAATCCGTTTGCCAAAAATAGGCTTTTTACGTCAAGCAGTTCAAGCAGAATCGTGATTAATCAATTACCCAACTTTTTGGAACACCATGTATGATTTTTTAAAAAATTTCAACATATGTAAAAAACAAAATAAATTATGCGTGCCCAAGCGTTTTCCCGAAAGACTAACCGTTTTTTAAATAACAAATATTGTAATATTTGAGGGGCGTTTTCATCCTCTCGGAATTGAGATTCGAGAAACCCCTCCTTATCTAATCTCTACACCCCACAGTCAGTCCGTTTGCCAAAAATCAGCTTTAAACGTCAAGCAGTTTAAGCAGAATAATTGTGATTACTCAATGGTCATATTTTATGAAACACCCTGTATAAATTTTTAAAAAATCTTAAAATATGTAAAACAACAAAATAAAATATGCACATTTAAGAGTTTTTCCGAAAAACTCACCGGTTTTTAAATAAACAATATTCTAATATTTGAGGGGTGGTTTCACCCCCTTAGAATTCGAGTTTCGATAAATCCCTTCTTATCAAACCTCTACACCCTAAAGTCAATCCGTTTTCCAAAAATCAGCTTTTTACGTGAAGCGCTTTAAGCAGGATCGTGATTAATCAATGACCAGATTTTTCGAAACACCCTGTATACATTTTTATAAAATCTTAAAATATGTAAAAAACAAAATAAAATATACGTGTGTAAGCGTTTTTTCGGAAACTTGACCGTTTTTTAAATAAAAAATATTGTAATATTTGAGGGGTGGTTTCACCCCCTTGGAACTGGAATTTCGAAAAATCCCTTCTTATCGAACCTCTACACGCTAGAATCAACCTGTATGCCAAAATTGAGGTTCTTACGTTGAGTGGTTTGTGCAGGATCGTGATTAATCAGTATGTCAGTCACTTAAGGATTTTATATATTAGTATAGATATGTCATATGACAACTGTCATAACGACAAGTTGGTATGGTATGGTAATGATGAGCTGCCTCCCTCACTGGCAGCTCTATGGCTCTGCTTCCTATGAAGGTGCAATTTGCCAGCGCATTAGTTTTGATTGCAGACGGTCTGACTTTTCGTCTTGCTGCAATCAATGATTTTAGTTCCTGAAATTAATTTAATTACGTGTATAAGTAACCATATCTGAAGTGTGTGCTTGTTTTGCATTGGTTCGTGACAAGTATCGTGACTGTTAGTATCTGGACAACACAAACAAAGGTCTAGACTCTTCTCTCTCCCGCCCGCAGAGGAGCATTACACAAAATGGTGCGGATCGGATGGACGAGGATTGGTATTGTGGTGTCAAGCCTAAATAAACAGAAAAGGATGGATTAGTTGAAGTTATAATTCTAGTTTGTTTTTCTCTATAAACGTGTTGAGATTAATGGTTTTTAGCTTGGCGTTGTACAGTACTGTCTGCACACTGAATGGTGTAGTCTGGCCGTCTTTTATTAGTTTTGTATATGTATAGATCTGATTGAGAATAGGTTCTCAGGGGGCATGCCAAGAATATATGGTTTATATTTTCTATTTTTCCATACTCACAAAGTGGGCTGTCAATTATTCCTATTCTATTCAGATGGGCTTTAGTGACCTATTTCAAGTCGTATGATGTTGGTTATGTCCTTTTTTCTGGCGTATTTTAAATTGTCAAACCATGACAAGTTACAAAAAGCTCTGTATAAGTAATAAGTGGGGTTAGAGCAATGACTAAAGAATCCAAGGACAAATAACACCCGAGAGCAAATTGTTACGATGTCAGGAAACAGTGCCGTGGCACATATTTTTCTTAACTTAGTTGTTTGAAGAGATATTTATATTTTTGATAAATGTTTTGACTACGCCTATGGTGTATACGGTGGTATCATATTAATTAATTACGAAAAAACTTATTAAAATGTTAACAAAAGATACACAACTAGTATCGACGTATAGCACAGATCAAGTACTTATAATATCAGAAAAAAAAATTATCGAGTTCAATAAGAAAACTAAGAAAACGCTAAAAAAGTGGAGCGGGCTGTTTTACCTATGAAACGTAACTCCTGGCTTTTTCTTATCGCTGCGGCTTTTACACTTGAAAGCTGAACAACTAATCACCATTGTAATGAAGTTTATACAAAGTTCACTACACACAAACTATTAAAAATCGCTAAAATTGTCGCTGGTGACCAGCTGATGACTGATTCGCTGCCATCAAAAGAATGGGAGTCTAATGTCACAAATTTTGCTGCAGCCCGTATATATCCTTATATTCTTTAGTCATTGGGTTAGAGTTTATAATTAATTATAAACTCTAACCCCCAATTACTTACTGATTTATAAATACAGTAGAAAAATATCGACTTTTTTATATTTCTTGAAAGCTATTCAAAAATTGTATTTAATCCTACAATTTACTTAAAATAAATAAGCTTGTCACACATGACATATTACCTACATCTTTACATCATTTTTTCTCGTTCTTGAGTGTATTGAAGAAATTATAATTAAACTTTTTTTCTATAACTCTAACTCGGCAAGAATAATTTATGGCGAACTTTTTGGTACTCCCTGTATATTATATGATTTAATTAATATACATATCAGTATAATTATAACTATTTGTTATTTATCGTTTTTGTTAATTAAAAACATATATTTGTAGAAAGCAGAGGTCGAGAAGAAGCTGAGTATCGCATTGAGAACTGTCGAAAAAATGACAGAACTTGAGGCGGAAAAAGACAAACTAGAAATGTCCGAGAAACAAAAATCTGACGAATTGGCATCTTTGATTAAAGATAAGGAGTTATTTAATATGGAGACAGAGGTATGTGTATGACTTTTTAATCACGGTACATTTGAACTAATTTCGATTTTTTTCTGCTAGATCTTGAAAAAAAGCGTCGCTGATGCTTGCAAAGAAAAAGATTCGATCGAGAGGGAGCTACAAAGTGTTTTAGAAGAAAAGGAAGAGTTAAGGAAGAAATCTGAAGAGTTGTCTTATAAATTGTTGGAATTAGAACGACAGATAGATAATGGTATAGTTCCTTCAGATATAGTTGAAAGTATATAGCATTCATCTTGGCTTTATATAGTGTTATCAGGTTTCCCTATTATAAAATATGCGGGCATAAGCGGTATGACGCATTGGTCTTTTTTATGAAATGAACTATTATACATGGTGTGTGTTTCTCAGGCTGAGCGTGTATTAGAAGTTTCTAGTGAACTACAATATCTAGATCGGAGATTTTATGCACATTTAGGTACGGTTTCAGAACAAGATCTGTCGATTAAAAATACTTTAAATATGGTGGCACTTCCGGAAATACCGGAAGTTGACATCTTTCTTATTTTAAATGGGTATCCCAATTTTTTATTACATACTTGAATTCTCTGTAGAATTTTTATATCAAATACTACATATCTAACATTAACTGGTTTTGAGAAAAAAAATATTTAAAATTTTTGGAGAAAAAAAACTACCTGTCAAAAAAATCTGTATCGCCTAAACGACAAATAAATATGACTTCAGTGTATGTGTATTGACAGTTTTGAACTATGCGAGCATGAGAAGTGCTTCTTGATTAGTTGATTTATTTCATACTAACCAATAGAAGTAGTTTTCTAAGTTTCTATCTACCACGTAAATCAATTTAACGTCTGACTATTCGCGCCTTTACTTATAAATTTAAATTTAATCTCTGACATATTTAAACAAAAACTCGAAACGGATAGATATGATGAATATCTAAAATAACAGGTTGAAATAATGCTATTATCAAAGATGAATTAGACGAATCAGATCGTTTTATTTGGTGCGTGCGCACGAAAATTCTGTTGAACGAAAAGATTGATATTCCTATAGCCCCGTTCTCAGAACTTCATAATTGTCGCCAGCGACACTGATTGATATTTTAAAGAACCAATGAGATTTGTACAAAATTCAAACAGCTGTCAATTTTAAATTTAGTACAGCTCCCATTGGTTGTTTGAAATGTCAAACTGTGTCGCGCAACGTCATTCTGAGAGCGGGGCTTATTTCTTTTCTTTGGCTTCACTTTCCACTCATTGTGTAAATGCGGTACTAGCAATATATTCTTACAATATATTTACTTTGTGATGTATAGTTGTGTACTTTCAACCATTTCTTTATGCACTATACATTAAATATTCTTTAAAAATTATTTTTCTTCCCCTTATTGCTACTGCATTTTTAGAACAAAAAAAACTTCAGGCATCGTTAGAAAGTATAGTAAGAAAGTCGATAGAGAACAATGAGGAAACTCTAAGTAACGCTATACATGAAGTGGATAATCCTGCTATTACCGCTTTAACATGTAGTCCTGATTATTTAAGAAGTCTTACCAAAGGTTTTATTAGGAATATATTACTTTTTTATATATTTTAATGTTGTTTTTATCGTAGGATGCCAGGACGTACTTCAGGAGAGTTTAACTTTAATTTTTACAGATTACGAATCTGTAATAACTTTGACAAATAAAATAGCTCATCGACATTCCGTTTATATTCTAAACGGTAGAGCTACAGGAAATACAAGTCCGGACATTGCATTTGGAGAAAGTACGTGTTATGCCGGGTCCAGACCAAGCAGACAAAACAGTGACAAGACATTCATGTTTTACGACAAAGTTGTGACAAATCCAATACATTTCTGCGGCATTTTTGTCTCGTTTTTGTTTTGTTTCAAAATTCGGAGACTTTTCAATGTCCCGTCTCGAGTCGGTAAAGATCAAAGTGTCTATGTTTTGTTCGTATATTTTGCGACAAGTTGTCGGCGCAGTGTGGATGGCGTGTGCTGCCAACAGTAGGAGACCAGTGAAATCACACATGGTTAATAAAACTCATTCGCAATAACCAAACTTTTGACTTTTTTGTACTTTTGTCATTGCGGTGTGGACAATTTGTCTCAAGTTTGTCTTGTCAGAAATCTCCATTTTTTGTGTCAAGTTTGTCTTGTTTTTGTCTCAAAATCGTGTTTATTTTTTGTCACCTTGGTCTGGACCTGGCATTAGACCATATAATCGAGCAAAAGCGGCGTTAAAGTTGGCTTTGAAATGAAGATCGATTGTCATTTCCAAGCCCACATTTTGGCGCCGTATTTTTATCATCTGGTATTTATTGAGGTTTGTAGAATAATTTAAATCATTATGTTTTATTAGAGATGGCCGATTCTTGCAAAATTCTTGGAGAGGTTGTACTGAGATTACTTCAAAGTATTAAAGAAAATCAAAGCACTGAAGTGATTGTAAAAGAAGCGGTGGAAAAACTTGAAGAAATTGTAGTTTTGGGAGAAAATATTAATATGTCACTTCTGGGAGAAAAGGTAATATAAAATATCGCATTTTAACACTAACAAATAGAATAGCTTAACTATACAGAAGTAATAGGAAGTGTCAACTTCTTTAAAGTGTGTCACAAATTTTATGATTATGAAGTTGCATATTTTGACAATTAAATTCTCTTGTATACTGAAAAAAATGACCAGAATTTTATTGAAAGAAATGTTTAAATATACCAGAGGCCCGATTCTGCAAACATGTTTCTTGTCTAGTGATTCGCATAGACTAGACAGGAAGTTTCTTGCTACAGAGCTTACAGAATCCCACTGCAGAATTGTTATTTTATTGTGACACTATAAACAAGTTTATGTGAAATTATGATCTTAAAATAAATTATTCCAGCAATTAACTGGGTGCCTTGTATTGTAAATAATAAATTTTTATAAACGATAGATTATTTTAGGCTGAAAACTTAGTTGATATGCTGGAAAGTGAAATGGCATCAATGGACAAAGCAATTGAAGAAGCTGCTAATAAAATACAGGTACAAATCTTACTTAATACATAATTAAATATCATTTTATTAATTCTACACTATTTTTTTTCAGGAAATGCTTACCAATTCCCGAGCTGCGGATTCGGGAATAAAACTAGAAGTAAATGAGAAGATTTTGGATACCTGTACAAGTCTTATGCAGGCCATAAGATTACTGGTAAAAAAATCACGAGTTCTTCAAGCAGAAATTGTTTCACAGGGTCGAGTGAGTATAAAAATAGATTATTTGGAGTTCTCTAATTATAATTCTTTATAGGGCACTGCGAGCGACAAAGATTTCTATAAACGTAACCATCAGTGGACTGATGGTTTTATATCTGCAGCCAAGGCTGTAGCAGTAGCTGCGAAGTTTTTGCTGTATGTTACAATGAAAAAAAATATGTTTTTTTATTACATTTAATCATTTTCTTTTACTTTCAGAACTGCTGCTGATAAAGTAGTTACATCCAACGGTAAATTAGAACAGTTAGTTGTCGCAGCACAAGAAATAGGAGCTTCCACAGCCCAGCTGGTTGTAGCCAGCAGAGTTAAGGCAGACAGAAATAGCGAGAATCTAAAACAACTCACTCAAGCCTCGAAAGGAGTGACTACAGCCACCGGTACTGTAGTAGCTACGGTGAAAGATTGCAGCCAACTGATTGAAGAAAGAGAAGAGCTTGACGTCTCAAATTTGAGCCTGCACCAAGCCAAAAGGATGGAAATGGAGGTGCAAGTGCGGGTGTTGGAACTTGAGAAAGAATTGGAACAAGAAAGGTATAAGTTGTCCAAGTTACGGAAGCACCATTATCAACTTAGTGGGGAGAGTGACACTTGACCTGAGCCCGTCTTGTATTACAACAAGAAACATTGCTTTGTATGTCTCTAAAAACAAATTAACTATATAATTGAAGTGACAGCACAGTATTTGTCTTCAAGATTTAAAAATCAGCTTTAATATGCTCCATTTTATGTATTAGTTGCCACATTTTTTATACCTGGTTATTTATTTATTTAAAGTAGGTAGAATTAAAAAAAAGCTCCAAAGAAATTTGTATTCTTGAAATATACATACCCAAATACCGTTTTTGTCTTAAAATAAAATAGAGAACATTGTAAAAGACCTGTTACTCGTTATAATGTTTGTTAGACAATGTTATCTGTTATTTTACATTAACTATTACCATTTAGTATAGATATTTTATACATGTCTGTAACATTTATTGAAATATAATGTTAATAAAATTTAAAGGAACTAAATGGTCTTTAATTAATCTGTAAAGAAAAAAAAACAAATGTTTTAAAACAATTTTTATATAAATATTATCACACATTCAGTACATTCATCTGATTATTTAATATAATCTAATATACATTTACAATCTCGAAAAATGTATTTAACCAACTAAACTAACTAAAGATATACAGGGTGGTCCGAACTGTATTCCGGAAACTTCGGCTGCATATTCTGCAGATAAAAATAAGTAACAAAGTTCGTATAAATGTATGTCCTAAAATGCTTAGCTTCGAAGATACAGGGTGTAGAAATTTCATTTTTATTTCGATTTTTTCCAAATAATTTCTGAAGTAACATCAATATTATTTTTTAACATGAGAAATTTGATTTTGATGTAATTATGACTCCTACTAGTAGAGGGCGCCACCTACATATTTCTTAACTGGTTTGAGGAGTAATAACTTTTCGTTCGTACCTGTATAAAACTACTGAGTAAAAAAATATACATTTACAACGTTTTTTACGTGAAGAGACCTTTTCTTGGTAAAAATCGCTACGAGTAATGGTTTTCGAGATATTTGGAATTGAAATTATCAATACCTGTCAACATTGACATAAATTAAACATGTTAACTAAACAGTTATTAGACTGAAATCATAAATTCGAAATGTTTTTATACTAAAAGTTCAACAGAAACTATTTTATCATCATTTTTTGCAGAAAAATATATGATTAATTTAAAAAAAAAATTTACTAAATTTATTATTTCAGTGAAATAACTATCTACTCAACGTGTTTATTTTTTGTCAATAATGACATGTATTGTCTATTTCCATGCCAAATATCTTAAGAACGGTTGCTCGTAGCGATTTTTACAAAGAGATATTTTTTACGTAAAAAGTTACAGAGATGTATATTTTTTTGCCCAGTAGTTTTATACAGGTACGGACAAAAAGTTATTACGCTTTAAAACAGTTAAAACACATGTAAGTGGCGCCCTCTACTAGTAGGAGTCATATTAACACCAAAATCAAATTTCTCATGTCAAAAAACTACAAGACACTAATTTTCATCCAAATATTGACGTTACTTTAGAAATTATTTAGAAAAAATCAAAATAAAAATGAAACTTCTACACCCTGTATCTCTGAAAGTAAGCATTTTAGGACATACATTTATACGAACTTTTTTATTTATTTTTATCTGCAGAATATGCAGCCGAAGTTTCCGGAATACAGTTCGGACCACCCTGTATATTTATTTTAATTTTAATTATGTCCTTTGTCTGAATATTGTTGAATTTTTATTATTGTTATATTTGTGTAATTATTACTATGTTTTATGCCCACTTGCACCGTTTGTATAAACTTTGTTTAAAGGGTAAACAGTGATTAACTATAATAAAATATGTATAGTTAGTCACTGTTTAGCCTTTAAATAAAGTTTATACAAATGGTGCAAGTGGGCATTAATATTCTAAGATAATATACTCTGTAATGGGATAATATACTCTGTTCTGTGACGTTGCTTTGTGATCGGGAAGATCATTTTGTCAGCAATAAAGTATTTGTATTATATGAAATTTTTTGTCAATAAAAAAATTATTTCCTATAATAAATTATCGCTACACTTATAAAATGATCTAAAAAAACACTTAATTTGCTTGTTCACAAGCATCTATCCAATCGTTATATACATCTACAGGTTCGGACAGGAAATTTATTGTAGTTTGGAAATCTTCCAAACATATTCTGCATGTTATTCGGGCTGTACTTCGGCCCTTATCCCTACAAAGAAAAATAATTATATTAGGGTCATCGTCATCGCTTTCAATTGAAGGTGAAATTATAATGCAAAAAGGTTCTAGTAAACTTTAGGTACCTCGGAATTTCACACATTTCTTTGTTTTCTTATAAAGATTACTGTAAATAGGGCATATTAAGACAAAAAATTTGTTGGATCATACAGTTTTTTTTAGAAAATCACAAATAAAGTTCAAAAAATGTCAACATGTTTGGCGGGTTGGTTAGCGTAGTTATTTGGAGGGTGTTAATTCATTAGTTATGATTTTTCAGATAGACGTGAATTTAAGGTAATAATCAGTTAATTTCAAATACAAACACAAAATATAAAATAAACACCGAAATCGAAAATAAATAACAACCCTAATATAACCCTAAAGTAAAAAAAAGTAGTGCTTCATCCAAAAAATTTTTCTTTTATAAACTGTTCTATAGCTTTCGACTAAAAAAATATAAATTGCGAAATTCTGAGGTACTTAATGTTTACCAGACCCATTCAAAAAATTATAAATAAACAAAATACATACATCTTAACATCACAGCTTTTCTCGTGATTGCAAAAAGGGCAATTAAATTGAGTATCCAAGGGTTCGATCGCTTTCCTTTTCGGTGGAGGCTTCCTTTTTGATTTCCTTCTACCCATAGTGTCTGATACTTCAAAACTATTTCGAAACTTTTAGTTATTTCCAAATTTAAACAACTAAAAATAAAGATTTTTTGGATCTGTTTACAAAACTGCAAAACTATTCGACTTTCTGGAGTAATGTCAAATGCGAAAACATTGCGAAATTGTGCGAAATGACGCCAGACGCCAAATTCGCCAAATGCACAAAACACATCTGTCAAATGTCAAATGAAAGAGGAATGAGGACAACTCGAGATATGAAAAACATATATCGATATGGATAATTTCATCAGGGATGGGCTTTAACTCTATTCTTACTTTTTGTTGTGTATAATACGCGAATATTTTTTTCGACGTCTATTACTATTTAATTACACAGACGTTTTTAAAAGAGGAAAGGGCTCAGCTAATTTGTGGACCTAGTCATTTATTACACGCCCAACCTTACATAAAACATATCGATACCGAAGTGTATCGAGCAAGTATCGAGAATATGGATCGATATAGTTTGAAAATATTACATCCCTATTAATGTCATTTGTCAAAAGTTAATGCGCATACTCGGTGGGAATCGTAGGTTTTCGAAAATCATCGGAATCTTTGAAAGGCATTTTCCAAACACCGTTGTCTATACTTCTTATATTTTTTTTGTTTCAGGAATTTTTTGTAGGCAAAATATATTGCCCTATTTATTGCAATAATGTTTTAATAAGTTTTTATTATTAAAGTTAGTGTGGTATAGCAGAGCACACACTGTAGATATTCGTCAGAGAAATTTATGATCCATTAAATTAATTTTTGGTTGTATCAAGTCAAAAAAACAATACCTACCTACATTCTACATTGCGTTTCATTGAAATAAGTACTTAAGTATATAATTTTGTCACCAACAACCAATATTTAAGTTCAAAAAGTAAAGAATGACATTAATTATAATATTTTATTAAAATTATTTTGTTATAAAAAACGTAATTGACAAAAAGAGATAACTTTAAATTAAATACCTAGGTACATAGATAAAATAAAGTTTGCAAACTTGTTTTTTTATTATTTGAATGTTCACATGATTTCATATAAGATTGTATAAGACAATTATAAATAAAGTACTGAGTTTAAAATTTACGGGGACAAAATCTTCTCTAGGTATATCTACTTCTACATGAAATTTGTTAAATCCATTATTATTAAACGTTTTGATTATTATTATAAAGTTCTTTTTATTGCAAAATTTTTATAAACTTAACCACATCATCTTATATGATAATTTTATTTATAAAGTTCTAATTGTTTCAACCTGCCAGAGGAAAACCGATAATTATAAAAGAAATAAAATCAAGTGATATGCCTAATTAAAAAATATAAATTCCTGCACTTTACATTTTCAGGGCCTCTCTAGAATATTAGGAGGATTTAGATATTATATAATACCTTTAGTTCTGTTATTCGCTTTTAGTAGAAGGCAACATTTATGAAAATAACTTGTTGTTAACCAATTATGTACTTAAAATGTTTATCTGCTATAAAAATGTAAAATTAAACATGGGCGGGACAAGTTCCAGGAAAAATTCAAGATGAACAATGACAACGTCGCCGCCACTCGAAAAAAGGGTGTTCAGCTCGCCGTCACAGCTCGTTCTCGTTCGAAGCCCGTTGGTCGCCATGTTTGTGAGGGGCGATTCGTCCTTGTGAACGGGTAAAATGCCAGAAATACACGATATATTTTATAATTTGTTCATAACGTGAAGTACCAAATTGTTCTTCAGAGTATAATTTTGAGTTTAGTGGTGTTTTTAAAGACGGATGGTTAAGTTTTACGTAGATATTTTGTGATTACATTATGGTAAGTTTCAAATATACGTTGGATATGCGAACAACATGGCGGCTATCGACTTCTTTGTTCGTCATTGCGGCATTAAAATAGAAAAAATATATAAAATAGTGTCTTTTCGTTAATATATCATATTTCGTTGTAAATCTACAACTTGGAATTTTTTTAATGGTAATTTACTGCAGTTTCACATACATTTTATGAAATTTTCGCAATATTTTTAACTTCTATATTCGTTTATATATTGATTTGTATATTTGGCCTGTTTAACATCCGCTGACGTATTTGAGCTTTTTTCGCGCACTGTTTATGTAGCAGGATGAAAATTTTCTTTGGAAATTAATTAATTATGAATTATTGAGGCGTTCAAAGAATTTGGAAAAAAGAGCGGGATTTTCAATTTTAAATTCAAAATTACGTCATAGCGACTCATTCAGTGGTTGGATTGTTTTTCTAATTGTCTATTTACACAATTAAAAAGAAGTATTTAATTTTTTTTAGTAAATAATGAAGTAAAACATAAACGCCATAAAAATTAAAAGTTTAGACCGATAATTAATTACAAAAATTTGTAAAAATTGTTTTGTATATTTTATAATTTATCTGTGTAATTGTAGGGAATATTAGGTAAACAGAACTTTCAGCTTTAAATATAAAGAATCGCAACATCATAAAAATTAGACTTATTATAAAGCGGAAAACATAAGCAACTATGATTTTTTATTTATCATAGAAACTGATGAAAATTTACTAAAACTTATCAAATAGAATAAATAACAGCCTCAAAAAGGATTGTAAATAAATTTATAGATGATGATTAAAAAATTTGATGAAAGGTTAAATCCATTCGTTACCTTTCAGTTATGATAACAATCGAGGCATTTGTCTGAAATTAAAATATTCCATTGGATAAAAAATTAGATTTTTGGTTCTCGATTTTCTGAGGGCATATTTTTGATTTTCAGAGTAATCAGTGATGAGTGATGATACTCCGGGGGCAGGGCAGGGTGCTCTGCCCCCGCGAGACAGCCAAAGCCTTCGGGCAACGGCAGAGCGCCCTACAACGATGAGATTAACGCAAGTCGGAGGTGGGCAGTACGTTTTGGCCACTTCTCAGCCCCACGGAACAGTGCCGGCTTTAGCCCAGGTAGATTTAAATTCATATTTTTGTTTCGCTTAAATTTATGCATGCAATTTTCTATAGATCAGTGCTGGAGGTAGTATAACTAGCGTGCAGGGAGGAGTGACTCGAATTATTAACATAAGTCCTTCAAGAGGACAGCAAACATCATCATCTTTAAGACCTAGTTTAACGAATCAATCTATAGTGAACGTACTGAAGTCTCGGGGGAACTCGAACGTCAAATTGCATTTGTATCAAAACAATGATTCCAGCTCAAATACGACGCAATCGGTTGTATCTCATCCTCGCGGCGGGATCAAACGGGTATCATCAACGACCCCAGAAAAGAAAGATTCGTTTTCAGTGAAATACCAACGAGTAATGAATCATATGATAGTGAGGTCAAAGTTCGTCAAAGAGAAGTATGCAGAACATTTGGTTGAATCGTTCTACTTAGGAGCTGGAGGTAATATATTGGATCTGTATCAGTACGCGAAAAGACCCAAAACGCAAGCTTATTTAGCGTACATGAAAGAACACGCTATAGATCCTAAAGACGTGTCTGAAGAACTATCCAGTGTCACAATCCCCCAAACTACCCCAAGCACTCCTTCAGCTACCGAAGTTACCTCCCTCCCTGGTTTGCTACCTAACGTGAACCATCACACGCCCAGTACACCCACTACAACCACCACGGTTGTTCCGTCAACCCCTGAACCTGTAACACCAGTTCCAGCGAAATCTTTATCCACCTCCGTCAATAGCCAAGAACAAATTGTGGAAAAAGCTAAACAAGAGGCTTACGTAGTTCAGAGGATATCAGACCTACAAAAAGATGGTCTGTGGTCTGAAAAACGGTTGCCTAAAGTGCAGGAGATGTCCAGGACGAAAGCCCATTGGGACTTTTTACTGGAGGAAATGGTTTGGTTAGCGGCCGATTTCGCGCAGGAAAGAAAGTGGAAGAAAGCCGCTGCCAAGAAATGTGCCAGAATGGTGCAGAAATATTTCCAGGACAAAGCTTTAGCGGCTCAGAAAGCTGAAAAAGCTCAGGAACAACATCTCCGTCGGATAGCGGCGTTTTGCGCCAAAGAAATCAAGGTCTTTTGGGGCAACGTCGAAAAACTGGTCGAATACAAACAAAATACGATTCTAGAAGAGAAAAGGAAGAAGGCTTTAGACCAACAACTCAGTTTCATCGTCGATCAAACGGAGAAATACTCACAACTGTTAGCGGAAGGGATGAATAAGTCTGCCGTCGAAGTACCCTCAACGAATATATCGCCGAAGTCTAGTTCGAGGCATCATTCGGACGACGAATTCAACCCCGATGCACAAAGCGAAGAAGACGATGAAGAAACGATTGAACAGGAAGAAGCTATTCTAGAAACTGCGGAACAAACGGCGGAAGTCGAAGCACTACAACGGGAATCTCAGCTGGAACTTGATGACCTTCTCGAAGACGATTTCTTGCGGAATTACTTATTGAATCGAGATAAAATCCGACTCAGTGAGTCCGACGAATCCGACGATGAAAAGGAGGACAAGAAAAGTAAAGCGAGTGTTAGTAAAAGCGTCAAAGAACCAGTCAAATCCGATTCGGAGTCGGAAGACGAAAATTCGGAATCCGACGATGAAAGCGGCGAAGAAATGGAGACTTCGATGGCTGAAAACCAAAGCTTAAAACTTCTAGTTGACGATTCTCAAAAAGTCGAGGGAGAAAAGACAAAGACTGACGAAAAAGACGACCTGATAAACGACGCCGCTAAAATAGCGGAGAGTATTCAGCCCAAAGGCAACACTCTGTCTTCCACAACCGTCTCGACGAACGTACCTTTCCTGCTGAAGTTGCCTTTGAGAGAATACCAACATATCGGTCTGGACTGGCTTGTCACCATGTACGAGAGAAAATTAAATGGTATTCTAGCAGATGAGATGGGTTTGGGTAAAACCATTCAAACCATCGCACTTTTAGCGCACTTAGCTTGCGAAAAAAGTAACTGGGGACCCCATCTCATAGTCGTTCCGACTTCGGTCATGCTGAATTGGGAGATGGAGTGCAAAAAATGGTGTCCAGCCTTCAAAATTTTGACTTACTATGGTACTCAAAAGGAACGAAAACTTAAAAGGACTGGTTGGACCAAGCCAAACACCTTTCACATTTGTATAACGTCGTATAAGTTAGTTATTCAAGACCATCAGAGTTTCCGAAGGAAAAAGTGGAAATACCTTATACTGGATGAAGCTCAAAACATCAAGAACTTTAAATCGCAAAGGTGGCAACTGTTGTTGAATTTCCAAACTGAGAGGAGGCTCCTATTAACCGGAACTCCTTTACAAAACAACTTGATGGAGTTATGGTCTTTGATGCATTTCTTGATGCCCAACGTGTTCCAATCGCACAGGGAATTCAAGGAGTGGTTTTCGAATCCAGTAACTGGTATGATCGAAGGAAATTCTGAATACAATGATAGTATTATTAAAAGACTGCATAAAGTACTAAGGCCGTTCTTGCTGAGGAGGTTAAAGTCCGAGGTAGAGAAACAAATGCCCAAGAAATACGAACACGTGGTTATGTGTCGGTTATCGAAAAGGCAGCGGTTTTTGTACGATGACTACATGTCAAGGGCCAAGTAAGAAAAATCCTTTGTTTAGTAGGGCGTATGTCATTATTTTTTGTTGTTTTTTTTTCAGGACTAGAGAGACATTAGCCAGTGGGAACTTGCTTAGTGTAATTAATGTTCTTATGCAGTTGCGGAAAGTGTGCAATCATCCGAATTTGTTCGAAGTCAGGCCTACCATATCTCCGTTTCAGTGCGACAATATTAAAATTCACATTCCTTCTATTGTATATTCAGCTTTGCAGTACGACGTGTTTAAGGTTGGTATAACAAAACTTTCCCTACATATTGTTTTACCTGTTCAAGCCTTGTGTGTAGCCGAAAAAAAGTTGGCCTTCGATGACATTCCCCATACAATTTTACATATAAAATGACAGCTATCTTCATTTCATAGCCATCGCTGACGTCTTTGCTTTCTCGATCATATTGTATTTTTTGAGTTTATTAATATTATAAGATATTAAGTTTCAAAAATCTTAAGTTCATACTTTTTCTTTAATATATGTTAGTTTTGAAATAAACCAATAAGATTGGTTAAAAACAAGAGACGATACATGACGCATTTATATTTAAACCCATCTGTAGTTAACTTAAAAATAAAAATATAGAAACTTTGTTTAGTGAAATAAGTGGATTGGTATGGACGTCATCTGCTTTTTTTCTGTCATTATCTGTCGAAATCTTCCTTGAATCGTAAAACAATAATACACCAAAACCAAACAGAATATACTTATGATGATAATCTTAACCGAATCTTGATACGAGGTTTTCTCAAAATGATATCCGGAGGCATTTGTCTGATATTTCCTTAAAATAATTTATTTTTTGTTTTCTTAAACAGAAGGCAAAAAATTGACTTGTTTTCTTGTTTTAGCACGTCAATTTGTACGGTATGAATTTTTTACTAATAATGTTAGAGATGCACCTGGGAGCCTATCAGTGTTACCGTATGCGACAATCGGCGAAAAGAGACTTAAATTCCATTAAATTCGTGGAACATAAACCGCTGTGTCCGCCTAGTAAATTAAGTATGAAAGTGAAAATTCGAGACAAGACGGAAATCAAGCAGGAGGATAAAAAGGAGGTGCCTACCAAGACTACCACCGTCACAACACAGCCCAACATGAAAATGAAGCTGTCTGGGGTGCAGCTAGTCACACAGGGGATAGTTAAAAGTAAGCATTAGTTTTAGCTTGATTTTTTTATTAGATGTTCTAAAAAGTTAAAATTGGGTATAAATATAGTCTGTCCAATGACAAGATCCTTGACAGTGATAGATGTGTCTGTCATTTTATTTTCAAAGTAGTTTATTTTATTTTACAAAGAAATAAGTTGGTACAATTGGAATGTATAGCAGAAAATTAATATATTAATTTGAGCGTGACAATTGATTACTTCAAAATATTGTGAAAAAAAACTATAAAATTGAAAAAATCTAATCGTGTTATTTTATTAAAAACAATTACAATATGTGTTGATACAAAACAAGCAAGGGTGTATTTAAAAAAAATACCACATACCAAAAAAAGATATAAAAAAGATTTCCTGCTTTCAAGCCGTGTTTTTCAAGTAACTTCCTGCATTTATTGTTACATTTATCAATATAATTATTCAATATGATTATTATTTACCTATCTTGTGCTGCTATTTTACAGATACTCCAGTTTTTGGTATCATATACAAGATAGTATACAAATTTTATTTGTGGCTAATTACAACTCTCTGGCAAACTGTCTCTGGCGGTCTCAGGTCACTGAATATTAACTGTAAACGATGGTATGGGTCAACACTTATTTTTTCCGCGAGTTTTCCTCCACTTAAATTAAAAAAAAACACGTAATAACACAGTCCAAAATGCAAGATATTTATCATTTCTATTTGACATAATTTGACACAAAATTCTAACGTATAATTTGGAAAGAGTTTGACAACTCTCAAAAATCTTAAGAAGAGTTCACACGCATCGGCGTTCGTTTGTAGTTCATGTTTCCGTCAAACCAATAATATTGAAATATGATCTGTCATTTTTGAAATAAACCAATAAAGCTGGTTACAAACAAGAGATGACGCATGACGGATTTATATATAAACCCATCCCTAGTTAACTTAAAAAATATTAGAAACTTTTTTTAGTTAAATCAATGGATTGGTATGGACGTCATCTGCTTTTTTTCTGTCATCGTCTGTCGAAATCTTACCTGAGAAAAAAAAACATTTAGTATAAGAAAAAAATTGATTCTAAACCACGACAAGGAAATTCTACACAAACCAAACAAATCGAAAAAATCGTTATCATAGTGTCCTTTGTAATAACAAGCGATCATAATATTCGTCCTCGTCATATAGACTGGCCCCTTTCTATTATTATTTATAGTTTGTCCAACGACAAAATCTTTGGCAGTGATCTATGTGTCTGTCATTTTAAGAAATAAGTTGGTGCAATTGGAATGCAAAGCGGGAAATTAACACTAAATTTTATACCTTAAAAGTTAGTTAAATTAACTTTACGCTTATTTTTTAAACCAGTAACTTTTGAGCTTATCTCTCTACAGTACTAAAAGCTATTATTATTTACCTATCGTGTATATGTCTATGTCTTTATTTTAAGCTACTCCAGTTTTTAGTACCAATGCGATGGTAAACCAAACCAAACTGTATTGGTCGTTAATACAACTCTCTGGCTCTACACTTATTTTTTCCTCTGCTAAACTTAAAAAAAACACGAAACACACGTGATAACATAAACCAAAATGCAAAAGCGATTTCACAAATATTTATCATTTTCTAGCTGGTTATTTGACGCAATATGACACAAATAACCTTCAATTTGACTAGAGTTTGGCAAGTTTCAAAAATCTTAAGTCGAGTTCATCTGCATGCTTCTGCATCCGTGCGTCATTTATAGTTCCCTCGATTACTGTCCTCCATTCATGCAGTTGTGCAGCTCTGAACTGTTCAAGAACGCGACACTCTCACTCTATTCAATTGAGTCATAAAGTTCAGAACTGTTCCGCGCCACATGAAGGCACCAGGCTATCGCGCACCAGCATTCGCGAATTTCAAGTTCCAGAGCTTTACGCCCTGGGCTACTCAGAACGGTTCTGAAAAGAGCTGTGCGCGATAGCCTGGTGCCTTCATATGGCGCGGAACAGTTCTGAACTTTATGACTCAATTGAATGGAGTGAGAGTATCGCGTTCTTAAACAGTTCAGAGCTGCACAACTGCGTGAATGGAGGACAGTAATTAGAAAAGACGTTGTTTAGTGAAATACATGGATTGGTATGGACGTCATTTGCCTTTTTTGTCATCATCTGTCAAAAAAAACAGTATATTAAAAATTTCCAAAAAAACTTCTCAAAAATGAATATTTAAATGGAAATATGTAGTTGAAATGATTTTTCTTTGACTGTCATGTTTAATGTATACAATTGCTGTCCTCCATTCGCGAACTTCGAGTTCCGGGCTTTACGCCCTGGGGCTACTCGAGAACGGTTCTGAAAGGAGCGGGGCGCGATAGCCTGGTGCCTCCATATGGCGCAGAACAGTTCTGGAACTCTATGACTCAATTGAATGGAGTGAGAGTATCGCGTTCTTGAAGAGTTCAGAGCTGCTCAACTGCGTGAAAGGAGGAGGACAGCAAATGTATACACTTTGCAAATTATCATCGACTGTCATTTAAAAGGTTACTGTGACTCCGTTTTTTTTCTTCGATCATGCGGTACTTTAGGATATTAACATTTACATATAGGAGAATGTGATTGGAATTTGTTATGCTTTTTTGGTAATTTTAGATTTTCATTTCTAAGGTTTTATTTTTAGTTCTGAAAATGTTCCCTCGCTTCAATTACCATATGAACTGAGAATTTTATCCTGTATAAATATTTGTTTAGTAACAACAGATCACTTTTATTGTTTGCAAGAATGTTTAATATGAACATTAAAATTATTATTCTAAAAAACACGATATTATACATCATTTTACCATCTAATTTTTTATTATTAATGATTCATTTTTTTTTAATTTATTTGAAACCACATTATATGTAAGATAATTACAGTGTATGATACTTATGATGATAATCTTAACCGATTCTTGACAAGAGGTTTTCTCAAAATGATGTCCGGAGGCATTTGTCTGATATTTTTTGACAATGATTTGTTTTTGTTATCTCAAAGTGCTATGTTTACTAATGTTGTTTTTTTTTGCCAGCTATTCCTTTGGTAAATATATCTCAAGCTGGTGGACAAGTGCAAGTAGGAGCACCAATAAACGTATCTTCAGTTTTGAAGCCTGCCGATAAGTTATCTGCTAGTTTTGCTCAGTTAGTGCAGACTTCGACGGGGAAACACCTGTTGTTAACATCAAATCCTAATATAACGGGAAATATTCCGGTGACATCAACATCAGCAGGTGAGGACTAGTTAGAATTGTTTTAAACATTTTGTTTTTTAAAAAATGTTCGAAGGAGAGAAAGAGAGGTCGAAAATATTATCAAATTAAATTTTTCATAAATAAGAATTCTTTTGAAACTTACAACGCATTTTTTTCCTTTTGAAATTGACTGATAAAAAAGGCTTTGTGTTGGTAGTCATGGCAAATGATTCCAGTTGATTTTTTTTGCAAATTTGATATTTGTCATTTTCCTTTTTATTCCCAATTTTCCTTGAAATTAAATCTTCGTTTTCTTTAGTTAAAACTGTCATTTTCTCGCAATACAATGCCAAAATCACTACATATACCGGGTGCGTCTCAAAAGTGGCTCACCCCTATAACTTTTTTATTTTATTTTTTTTCAGATAAACGAGATTTGGTATGTTAGTATAGGATATAAATCAGGATTGGATTTCTTCCTGTTTCATCGGAAATTACTACAACTTTTGATTTTTAAATGGCACCCTCGGTATTTTGTTACTTTATTTGATAGAAAATGACATTCTGAATAGAATGCCATATCATATGTCAACTTTTGACATTCTCGCTTAATAAAAATTTGTATTTTAAAGTTCAATCTAGAGTGCCATGGGTATGTTAAAAATACTAATTTATAATCAAGGAGCCTTGGAAAAATAGATTTGATCTTTAATGTTTTTAGTGTCTTGTCCTGGCCATCTAAAAGATACCCAAATCGTATTTTTAATCATATCTCAATTTTTTCAAATGGAACGAGTGTGGCTCATTAGCATATTTGGAAAAAGCATTTTTTTACAAATAATTTGATACCACACACTTGGTATTTCAACTCCAATTGTCGTTATGAACCACTTGTTACAGTTTCAAATAAACCATTTTCGAAAATGTCAAAAGTTGACATATGATATGTATGTCATTCTATTCAGAGTATTATTTTTTATCGAATAAAGTAAAAAAATTCCTAGGCTGTCACTTAAAAATCAAAAATTGTGGTCAGTTCCGGTGAAACAGGAAGTGACCGAAAACAATTGAATACGTCAATAAATCATAATTTATGTCATATACTAACATACCAAATCTCGTTTTTCTAACTGAAAAAATAAAAAAGTTATAGGGGTGAGCCACTTTTGAGACGCACCCGGTATAGTAGGAATCAGCAACGTATTTCATCTCTTCTCAATTATTTTTAAAAGGAAAGTGTCGAGTTTCTTTTGCTGTTAACCTGCATTAGAGAGGTAAAAATTGATATTGTTGCTTAAGTTTTATGACTGAGAGTAGAATCTCACAAAAAGTGGACTAATGTTAACTAATTAGCACTTTTCTCACCTTTCATTCAGAAATCTTGCTAATAACTTCATTTAATTAGATTTTTTTGTGTAATCATAGACAAAGTAATAATGTAGATAGAAAAAAATATATTTGCATAGAATTTCTAAAATAAGTAAAAAATCGGGGACAAGATTACACATTTTATTTGACACTGGTCAAAAGTCAATGTATAAAAAGAAGCCGTGGTAGCATTTTGACGTGCATTTGTCATATATCTTCATGGCGTGCACGCTATGAAAATATAGGATTATGTAATATAGGATATTAAAATATAGGATAGTACAAGGGGAGGGGTAAAAGTAAAATTTTGGATTGGCGGGAAAGAGAGAATTAGGCATTTTTTATTTATAATTCTAACCTTTCGGTAACTTTTAGGTGGTCAAAAACTGACGTTCTTATCCAAACAACCGATCTCGGCTTCGGGCAACGCCAAATCCATCACCAAAGCCTATGTCAAGTTCCAGCTGAACTCGGTCACGACCGGCACAACCACTTCAACCTCGGTAGGTAAAGTAGAACGCGTCTTTATCTTACTTCCACCTGGGACTAACATTTGATCTGACGCTCTGTCTTGTAGAACTCAACTGCCTCGATACTGGCCAAAGTGGAGGACGGCCTCAGGCCGGTCAGTTCGAATTTTTTAGGACAACTTTATTCAAAACAAAACAATTTAGATGTTCGGTGGAAAAAGGATGAGAAAAGGAGTGGCGTGGCGGTAAGTAACTATTTTTTTTTATTTTTGCTTTCATCACCAACCAACTTTCTTAAAATCCAGAAAAAAAGTTCAGAGTTTTATTAAAGAAAAATTTAGATATACACTAAAGTAGTGATGGGCAGTGGGGTTAGATAAGCAACGTTTAGATTAGTAAAATTTGGGTATATGCCTATACCAGGTGCGTCTCAAAAGTGGCTCACCCCTATAACTTTTTTATTTTTTTAGTTAAAAAAACGAGATTTGGTATGTTAGTATATGACATAAATTAGGATTGATTGGACGTATTCAATTGTTTTCGGTCACTTCCGGTTTTACCGGAAATGACTACAACTTTTGATTTTTAAAGCACGTCCGATATTTTTTTACTTTATTCAATAGAGAATGTCACTCTGAATAGAATGACATATCATATGTCAACTTTTGACATTTTTGCATATGGTTTATTTGAAATTATAACTTGCGGTTCGTAACGAAAATTTGACTTGAAATACCAAGTGTGGTATCAAATTATTCGTAAAAAAATGCTTTTTCCAAACATGCTAATGACCACCCTCGTTCCATTTGAAAAAATTTGAGATATGATTAAAAATACGATTTAAGCATTTTCTAACTGGCCAGGACAACACACTAAAAACATTAGACGATCAAATCTATTTTTCCAAGGCTCCTTGGTGAAGAATTAGTGTTTTTAACATAGCCATGGCACTTTAGATTGAATTTTAAAATACAATTTTTTTATTAAGCGAGAATGTCAACAGTTGACAGTTGTCATTCTATTCAGAATGTCATTTTTTATTGAATAAAGTAAAAAAATACCGAGGGTGCCATGTGACCAAAAACAAATGAATACACCAATCAATCCTAATTTATGTCATATACTAACATACCAAATCTCGTTTATTTATCTGCAAAAATAAAAAAGTTATAGGGGTGAGCCACTTTTGAGACGCACCCGGTATACGCAAAGGCAAAATCATAATGTATAGACAAAATCCTAACATTTGGAAAATAAAATTTGACATCAAAATTATAGGATGACAACTTAAGGTGTGTTGGCATTTGCTTGCTTTTTCATTGTTACCTGTTCAGTTTTAATTTAAAAATAGTTGCAGTTTTTCTTAAGTTACTTAAAATTGGCTTTTCCAAAATTGATCAAATTTGGCATGTGTATTCAGCATAGGCAGGCCTTTAAAAACCTATATACCACTAGTAGCAGGGGAGCCAATATTTGGACATTTCAAAATTTGCATGGGATTTCCATGTTTTCAACGACGATGCACCACCCGGTATAATGTAATGTAACATAATAATTATTTCTCTATTAGAGTTATAGTACATGGGAATTCATGATGTGAAGTTCATAAAAAGTTGTATAGGTATAATTTTATTTTTAATGTTTTTTTTTTAAATCTACCTTAAATTAGGTACACCACTGTGAAAGCTAAAAAATACGTAATGTCACTTACGCCTGAAATATCAATTTGGGACTAGTATAGTCCACCTTTTTGCAAACTAAGCATTTGCAAACCATTTTAGATATTTAAAAATACTCTAAACATCCATAATGTTCCATTACTATTCATAGTAAAAACATCGTAAAACTGTAACCATAAAAACCAATCTTCCCGAAGCAGCGTTCTCACAGTTACTTCCCTAATAAGTTTTAATTTAATCAGAAAACTAAAAATAATTTCAAAAGTATAATCTATGTTCTATGTATTTTAACTAAAAGGAATCACCTACACTTATATTTAGTATGCCTTTTCTATAGGTGCTCAAAAACGATTATTAACAATAATAACACTTGGTTTTAAAACACAAACCGTAGATCTAAGGCAATCTGCAGAAATTTGTCATCATCAATTTTTGTTGAAAACTTGTTGATGTTTGATCAGGATAAAACGTAAATAGTTTTATCTCCTTTAAGAGATTTTTTGGGTAATTCTGTGTCTTAGTTTTCTAGTATCGAATAGTATTCTTATATTTTATTTATGTGTTTAATCTGTCACAACAATATATCATTATTTAGGACATATCCAGAGCAGATTATAAAAGGAGAATGCAGCTGATGAGGCGGGTCAATGAACGACGCTGCTCAGCTCTTCCCTTATATGGAAAGGACTTTCAAGACGTGATAAAAATTTTCAAGCCAAATAAGGACGCCCCCTGGTCCGGGGGTTACATAAATTGTTTGAACGCCCTGTTTTCCAAAAACGTGGACGAGACGACCAGCTTCCTGTGCGACACTCTGTACAGTCCGGAGAGGCGTATCCAGCAATTAAAAGATATTTGTGATAGGTAAGTGATCAAATATATTTTCGGCATTTAAAAAATATCAATTTCCTCTCTTTTTTCTGCTATCAAGTAGAATACTGCTAATTCACGGTCTTGCGATTTTTAACTGTTACTTAATTTACAATTAAAGACCCCCTCACACGCTTTAGTTATTTTGCGCGGTTTTTACCGAACGGTAGAACTGTTCAGTTAATAATGTCAGTGTGTGTCCAGTCTAACTTTGCCCATTCGTTCAATATCTGTCCCCACCCGATAGTGTATCGACCAAATACGTTTAAAATAACGTATACGGAGGGTACCGCTTAAATTCCTGTCCCGATATTGAAGGATGGCTATAGAATTTCAATGCATTTCCTACATAAGTCTATCCTTGGTTTGCAGGAGGTTTGACTAAACAAGGATGAACCTATGTCTTAAAACCATTCGACTCGATTTTCTGTCCTCCTTCAATACTGGGACGTAAATCCTCTCATTGCTCTTATGGGGAGGCCGTCGTATATTTTATTTAAATGTATTTGGTATCGACATAAACCGCCCAGTTAGAATCAAGCTAGTGGCGCAAGCAGTTCTTTATATATTTTTTTGGCGTATTGGATCATCTTCTATTTCTTTCCTGGATTATGTTTTTTACCGCCGCCACTGCTAGCAGGTTGTTACTTGAATCCATTGTTCTTTACTATGGCTTAGATAAAATGAAATTACTAAAATTAGAGAGTGTGTGGAAGTTGCTTACCCGTGCTTTCTACAGTTAAAACTGAGCAAAATAACTGAAGTGTCTGGGCGCCCTTTTTAATTATAATTGTGTGCTTTATTACTTAAAAAAAATGAATGGAAAGACAGAATTGTCGCTATACGGTGGTCTTATTTCCTTATTTGACATGGTATCTGTGAAGAATACCCATGATAGTGAAATTGTAGCATCAGTTTTAAGTGGCAGTAAATAAAAATCAAGGGCAGAATCATTTCATGACAACAGAACAACCTAAACGTGAAAATTATTATAAAAAGTAAAATGCACATAGAGGTTATTTTCACAGGGCAATAGAAATGGTATTCGCAAGTATACCTGTGTATTTTTTAGCTCAGAACTCTAGTATGGGACCTAAAAAGATTCCCGTTTGAATGGGAGATCACTCATATAACTTCTTGTTTTCAGGTTTATATTTTATGTACCTGCAGTCAAAGCGCACGAAACGGAAATCAGGGTCTGGCATCCGCCTCCTAGCGAGTACTGGATGCGCAAAGAAGAAAAACAACTCATTCAGCGATTATTCTCCAAACCGGCAACGCCCTTGCATCATATTGCTTCAGCCATGGTCACCCAATTCCCCGATCCACGACTTATTCAATATGACTGTGGAAAACTGCAGACTTTGGACAAACTTCTTCGACATCTGAAAACGGAAAATCATCGCGTTTTGCTATTTACTCAGATGACCAAGATGTTGGATGTGTTGGAAGCATTCTTGAACTTCCACGGGCATATTTATTTGAGGCTGGATGGTACAACGAAGGTTGATCAACGACAGGTAAGAATATTAGTAAAAGAAAGTAGCCGTGACATCATTGCGATGTTCATTCGTCAAATATTTTGATGACGTGCGAGCGAAAAATATTTTATTGATTTTCTTATACATATGAGATCCTTAAATTTGAGCAACATTAATATAGTCTGTCCAACGAGAAGATCCTTGACAGTGATAGATGTGTCTGTCATTTTAATTTCATAGTAGTTTATTTTATTTTACAAAGAAATAAGCTGGTACAACTGGAACGCATAGCAGGAAATTAATATATGTATTTAAAATTTGACTGACAAGTAACTTCAAAATATTGTGAAAAAAACTGTATAAAACAGAAAAAATGTTATCGAGTTATTTTATTTAATAAAAAACGGTATGTGTTAATACAAAACAAACAAAAACAAGACACCACATACCAAAAAATATAAAAAAGAACTATTTCTTACTTTCAAGCTTTATGAAACTTCCCGCATTTATGATTATATTTATCAATATAACTTATGTACAAATACAAATTTGTAATATTCCGCAGGAATAAATAAAACAACATAAATAAAACAAACTATTTTATTAATAATAACACTTACCAAATTTTATACCTCACAGGTTGATTAATTAACTTTAATCTTATTTTCTTTAAACCAGTACCTTTTGACATTATTTTTCTGCAGTACTAAAATCCATTATTTATCTGTCGTGTGATGTCGATATTTTACAGCTACTCCAGTTTAGTATGTGTTTAGAGAGTGGTCCTTCTACCATATTCGAGATGCACTTATCTACGACGAGGTGGTATACGAACTTTATTGATAGTAACTTTATTGGTGTATCTGTATAAGACTTTCTGCCTGCGCAGCGAGTATTAACCATAAAACACACGTAATAACACGAATCAAAATGCATCATCTTCCAAAACGCAGGGTATTTGACAAAAGTTGTCACAAAATTATAACCTATAATTTCGCAAGACTTTGACAAACGTCAAAAATCTAAAGGCGAGTTCATACGCATCGGCGTCCGTTTGTCGTTCATCGTTCCGTCAAACCAATAAAATTGAAATACGATCTGTCATTTATGAAATAAACCAATAAAACTGGTTAAAAACAACAGGTGACGACGCATGACGAATTTATATTTAAACCCATCCATCGTTAACTTAAAAATTATTAGAAACTTATTTTAGTAAAATAAATAGATTGGTATGGGACGTCATCTACTTTTCTTCTGTCATCGTCTGTCGAAATCTTACCTGAGAAAAAAAAACAGTATAATTGAAAAAAAGTCAATATATGTCATATACATATCCCTGGTTCTTGTCAAAAGTGGTTCAGCCCTAACTTTTTTATGGTTTCAGTTAAAAAAAACGAGATTTGGTATGCTAGTATATGACATAAATTCGGATTGATTGACGTATTCAATTGTATAAAAAACAATTGAATACGTCAATGTTCGTCACTTCTTGTTTCACCGGAAATGACTACAACTTTTGATTTTTAAATGACATCCTCGGTATTCTTTTTTTACTTTATTCAATAGAAAATGACACTCTGAATAGAATGACCAGGGTTGTCAACTCTGGAAATTGGATACCCGCTAGATTACTACTAGCATATTAAAAACTGCTAGAATGCGCTAGGAGCCATATTGAACCTGAAATTGTACTTTTTCGCCTATTTTGAACCTTTTATTATGGCTTTCATCACCTGAGACAAAATTAATGCGACTTAGATTATAGGCCTAGGTACCTACTATAAGAATATATGATTATTATGCGATTATTGAGGCAAATTTTTATAAAAAATGGTTTTTTAGATATATATTAGTTTATATTGGTATATTTATTGAATTTTACTTAAATTTTATTCAAAAATTAGTAAACCGCTAGATTAGCGGGAAAACCGCTAAGTTAGCAACAGTGAGAATGACATGTCATATGTCAACTTTGACATTTTCTCATATGGTTTATTTGATATTGTAACATGCGGTTCATAATGATAATTTAACTCGAAATACCAAGTGTGTGGTACCAAATTATTCGTAAAAAATGTTTTTTCCAAATATGCTAATAAGCAGGGTTGGAAAAAATCATGATTTTTTTTTAAAAAATCAAAAAAATCAGATTTTTTTGATTTAAACAGATTTTTTTGATTTTAATTCAAAACAATATTTAAATCGGATTTCTAAATGACTAGACTTATTTCCAATTAAAGTCCTATCCTAAATGGCTAAATCTATACCCCGATACCGATAACATTAATAATTCTACGGGGCGTATCATTTTTCCACATCGGTCACCAATATATTCCGCAAAAAAAGTCGTTCGCTTCAGATCAAAAGAATTTTTTTTTTCAAACGTCTCAAAAGTATGAATTTTTGTCATTTAAACACCTAGACATAAAAATAAAGCACTGTTACGCCCGTTACGCCTAAGCTCAAAAGTAGTGATGGGCAAAACTGTTATTTTTAGATAACAGTTGAAACTGTTATAGTTATTTATAAAAAACAGCTTAAAATAACAGCTTAAAAATAACAGGTTTCTTTATTTTACTGCTAAATATCTGAAAGTATGAGGCGGTCACCGCCAGGCGTATTAACGCAGTTGCAAATTGCAACAATGACGTGCTCGGTGGTAATATTTCCAGGGTGTCAAAACATTTCTAAATATCGATTGTTATCTAAAATACCTCTCTAAAAACGGTGGTTGTTTACAAATAAGCGCTGTTTACAAATTGCGATATAAAAAAGCCAAAATTCCGCCACCCGTCTATACCTATACATTCCGATCTACCTACGCCCTGCCCCACGATCCGTGTAGATCCTGAATTGAGTAGCAGTGTACAGGGTGCATCTTACTCGACGGGCGAGAAGCTCTTAGTTATGATTTTACCATTTGCGGTCAAAAAATAACAATATAAGAAAATGTGTAGTATATTCTTCATAAGTAAACCAACTACACACTAGAGTTCGAATTTATTTTACACTTAAACTAGCGTGTACCCGCGACTTCGTTCGTGTCGAATTAATAATTTCTAATGGTGATGATAAAGCAAAACAAGAATTTCAATTAACATACAGACTGGATAAAATTTTCTCACATGTGCCAAAAATAAGCTTTAAACGTCGAGCAGTTTAAACAGAATCGTGGTTAATCAATTACTCAGCTTTTTGGAATACCCTGTATGATTTTTGAAAAAATGTCAACATATGTTAAAAAACAAAATAAATTATGCGTGTCCAGGCGTTTTCCCTGTTAGTCGAAAGACTAACCGTTTTTTAAATAACAAATATTGTAATATTTGAGGGGCGTTTTCACCCTGTTGGAATTTGAGATTCGAGAAACCCCTCCTTATCGAACCTCAACCCCACAGTCAATCCGTTTGCTAAAAATCAGCTTTAAACGTCAAGCAGTTTAAGCAGAATAGTGATTACTCAATGGTCATATTTTATGAAACACCCTGTATATATTTTTTAAAAATCTGAATATATGTAAAACAACATAATAAAATATACTCACCGGTTTTTAAATAAAAAATATTCTAATATTTGAGGGTAGTTTCACCCCCTTAGAATTCGAGTTTCGAAAAATCCCTTCTTATTGAACCTCTACACCCTAAAGTCAATCCGTTTTCCAAAAATCAGCTTTTTACGTCAAGGGCTTTAAGCAGGATCGTGATTAATCAATCACCAGATTTTTCAAAACACCCTGTATACATTTTTAAAAAATCTTAAAATATTATTCTGAAAATTTTTCTGAATAAATAAAGACCTAAATATTGAAACTTAATAAGTAAGTACTGAAACATACAGCGCCATAATATCTCGACCTCCGCCCGTTATGCTCGTAACAGGTTGAAAAACAATGTACTATCTAAAATAACTGATGCGTTATTCTCCAAACTGTTTCGAACCTCCATCGACAATCGACCGATGCAGCAGCGTTCCTTTCCCACTCCAATTATCTCGACCACCGCCCTGTTATGCTCATAACAGGTTGAAAAACAACGTGTCTAAAATGACTGCTTCTCCAACCCGTTGCGAGCCTCCATCGACAATCGACCGATGCAGCAGCTTTCCTTTCCCACTCCTGTTATCTCGACCGCCAGGCGTTATGCCCGCAACTGTTTCAAAAAACCTGCTTCTTTTATATCCTAAGCTTTTTTTATATCCTAACCTGCTTCCTTTATATCCTATTATTTTTAAGCGATATCGACCGAAGCAGCTACGTTCGCCGAACGCATTCCCCACTCCGTTGTCCGTTGTCTCGCCGCCTGTATCGATGGTTGACGAAATAACATGTTTTCCATCCATACTAGTTGTTTTTTGGAATTGCTTCGAGCAGCATAGAATTTCGTGACGGTGCAGAGCGCCGACTTCGTTTTTCGTTTTACGAGCGGCCGATCTCTACCTGTCGTTATTTTATATCTGTTATTTTTTAGAAGTAGTAACGGTTGCGTTATGTTATTTATAAATAATTGTTATAAAATAACAGATAGTTAAATAACAACCCATCACTACTCAAAAGTACAAAAATATATTATTAAACTGATATAAGTATCAAATTCAACGAGTGTACAAATTGTTGATCGATTACTGTTTACATTATTTGCAATGTTTGAAATTGATTAAAAAATATTTGTTATATTTAAAAAAAATAGTATGTTCTATTCGGATTAAACATGTACTTTTTATGCCTCCCTGTAACGTAGGAATAGCTTTACGATGGTCCTTCAAAGGTACAGCATCGTCAAAAAAAGTATAATTTTTGCTTCTAATAAAACAATACACTACATTATTGTTTGGAAATAGTCTATAAGTTGAGAATGTCAAAGTGTAAAGTACTTACTGTCGATCAAAATGTCGGTAGGAATTTGGAAACATACAACCGTGTCAAAAAAAAATATAAAACATATTTTCTGACAACGATTGTAGAATCTCGAGAATGAAGGTATAGGTTCTATATAAGAAGAACCTAGTTCTGCATTAGACTTTGCGAATGATATGTATTCGAACTTTCGAACAGCGAATTTTTGTCACTTATACATAAATTTTAAAATCTCTGCGTTTAGCGGTCTAATGAATTCACACGAAATTAGTTCAAAAATCGGTCCAACAATTAAATTGATGAATAGTTATTTTTATATAGTTTTATAACGTTTACAATTATTTTCGATTTATGATCAGTTATATCTGTTATAGAAATATTTTTTATAGTTTTCTAGGACACATTTTTATAACTTTTACAGTTATTTTTTGATTTATTATAAAGTTTCAATAAAATATTTCTTTTGATTTAAATCACATGATTAAAATTAAAAAAATCACATGATTTAAATCACGATTTAAATCATGATTTAAATCATGCCAACCCTGCTAATAAGCCACCCCATTCCATTTGAAATTGAGATATGATTAAAAATACAATTTGGTAATTAAAAAGTAGTATTTTTAACACAGCTATGGCACTCTAGATTTAAATTTAAACAACGATTGTTTTTAAAGTGAAAATATCAAAAGTTTTCATTTTCTATCGAATAAAGTAGAAAAATACCGAGGGTGCCATTTAAAAAGCAAAAGTTGTAGTCATTTCCTGTGAAACAGGAAGTGACCAAAATCAGTTAAATACTTCAATCAATCCTAATTTATGTCATATACTAACATACTAAATTTCGTTATTTTATCTAGACAAATAAAAAAGTTATAGGGGTGAGTAATATACCGAAATATTTTCGGTATATGCTGATTGATTTAGCAAAAAGTACATACTGAAATTGTAAAAAATTATTTTTGGTTTAAGAATTATGAAAAATATTAGCTGTTTAGATTACTAAACAACAAATAAATTAATTTCTGTTAATAACATGTTCTTACATTCTTTTAGGTGCTGATGGAACGATTCAATGGAGACAAACGGATATTCGTCTTTATTTTGTCAACGCGATCTGGTGGTGTGGGTGTGAACCTCACCGGTGCAGATACAGTTATTTTTTACGATTCAGACTGGAACCCAACCATGGACGCTCAGGCTCAAGACCGTTGTCACAGGATTGGTCAGACCAGGGACGTCCATATTTACAGGTCAGTCAATTTTAGTTGACGCAGTTTACTATACGATTGAAAAAATCATTGTTAATTTTTAATAAATGACATAGGAGTTTATTTTTTGAACTTACTATACGTTTATTATTTTTAGAGAAAAAAATTGAAAATTATTAAATGTTATGTCAATCATATAATATTTCGTTATTTTCTACGTTAATGCAATAATAAAATACAAATTATCAACTCTATGAAATTATCTCTTGATATTTTCGTCCTATATTTTTCTTTACTGTACGTGTTTGTTTTTGTATTTTAACGTTACGTGTTTTAAGAAAATGAATTGTCAGCTGTATGCTGTATAGTCTATAACGTTTCATGTCAAATTTAGTTTAAATACTACAGGGTTTTGTAGAAAATGTGATTTTTTTAATATTTAACGTCACTATTTCAAAACAATTTTCTGCCCTCAAATTAAGATTCGGAATAATTCAAATATACATTTTTACTTGATATCTGTTATTTATATAAAAATAAATTTATTTGCAGTCTATATTTTTTCAAGGTGATAACACTGGTAAATAATGAGTCATTCAATTACTGTTTTTTTTTGCAATATCATTTAATTGATGTGTACAAACAATGAGAAAGCATAACGTACATCTGAGTAATAGAAGAAAAAATATTAAATATTTGGTCTAAATATTTATACATGCACTTTTTTTTAAATTTAATGTCTTATTTTCTATTTAATATGTATTAATTCTTTTTAATCATTGAATAAAAAGACTAATGAAGGAGCTTATGTTAAATAAATTACTTAATTTGCACAATCACGTTTATCATCTAATCATTCATGAAATATCATACAATCGAAAAAACGGCGTAAAAGACGGCTGGGGAATGATCATCGTTAATAATTCGAGAAAAAAATATTTTTTAGAAATAGGTTTGTGTGACTGGAAAAGTTCTATCCTTTTTTTAATCTTTCTATAATTATTAGTGTCAATTTTTTAAAAGTTTTATGTCAGTTTTTACTTAATGACGTCTAGAGATTGACTCCGTTAGTGACGTAGAGATTGACCGTCTTTGACACCGTTTTTTTTTCGATTATACGGTATTTGCCCTCTTCCTTAATTTTTTTATTCAGTGACATTTTCTATATTTTTTTTTATTAGGAAAACTTCCTAGAAAAGTGTTTAATGATCTGATATTTAATCACTCATTTCTATATGGAAGAAAATAAAAGAGTACCTTTTCCAAGCTTACTATTTTCGTTTCTAAGTAGTAAAGATTGAATGTTACTGACATGAGCAAGTCTTCTTTATTTTAGGAAATAATTTATATTTCCTGTACGTTAAAATGTCTCTTTTCTTTGTTTATAGATTGGTTAGTGAAAGGACCATAGAAGAGAACATTCTCAAGAAAGCCAATCAAAAGAGATTGTTAGGAGATCTAGCCATTGAGGGTGGTAACTTTACAACAGCCTATTTCAAAAGCGTAAGTCCTTTTTGTTTTTATTTATTTACAATTTTTTTTAAATAAATATATATTTTTTTCTTTTGCAGACGACAATTCAAGACCTGTTTACTATCGATAACAGCGTGGAATCTGCAGCACAAAGAATGTCGGAAATCCTAGATAGCCGGAAAGAGAAAGTTGTAGTTAGTGAACCGGCAACGCCGCAAGGCGACGAAAAATCCGCTATTGGTGCTCTGGAAAATGCTCTGGCGGCTTGTGAAGATGACCAAGACGTTCAGGTATAATGTTTATTGTTATATAATTTTTCTCCTTAAACTAAAAATATTTAAGAAAAAAAAATTTGGTAGTTAAGTTATTCATTCAAAATATTTTTTGGCAGGCTGCTAGAACAGCTAAGGCTGAAGCTGTAGCTGATTTGGCAGAGTTTGATGAAAACATTCCTTTGGATCAAGAGCCTGAAAAAGAACCGGAAATCAGTAAAGCAGAACAGGAAATCAATAACATCATTGAAAAGGTAATTAATTATCTATTATTTTCAATTACATTTTAATTTGATTTATACAATTTATCAAAAGAATTAATTTTACAATTCCAAGGTCTTAACTGTTTTCTGAAACATATTTATTGTCTTGTAGGTATAATATTAACATACCGGGTGTTTTTCAAAAGTGGCTCTCCTTTCCAACTTTTTTATTTTTGCATATAAAATAATGAGATTTGGTATATTCAGTATATGACATAAGCGAGGATTAATTGACATATTCAGTTAGTTTTGTTCACTTTTTGTTTCTCCGGAAATGACTATACTTTCGTGCAGAATTTTATAGAAAATTGCATTCTAAATAGAATGACATTGTCATATGTCAACTTTGGACAGTGTCGCTTAAATAGTATTTTAAATGTCAATCTAGAGTGCCACAATCTTCAATCTAACGACAATTTGACTCGAAATACCAAGTATGTGGTACTAAATTATTTGTAAAAAAGCCTTCTCCAAATTATGCCATTAGCGTATTTGGAGAAGGCACCCTCGTTCTATTTGAAAAAACTTGAGTTATGATTAAAAATATGATTTGGATATCTTTAAAAAGACCCGAAAAACATTAGATGGCTTCTTGATTAAAAATTAATGGTTATAATACAGCTATGGCGTTATAGATTGAAATTTTGACAGTCTTTATGTAACTATCTCACGCAGCACAAGTCCTGATTTGTACACTTTGCATAAATCCAAGATATTAAAACATTATTTTTTGTTTCAGCTGTCGCCAATCGAAAAGTACGCGATGAAGTTCATCGAACAGACGGAATCCGCCTGGTCAGCCGAACAACTGGCCGCTGCTGAAAGACAGATCGAAGAACAGAAACGCGAATGGGAACAGAACCGGATGGCAGCCATGCGCGAAGAGGAGGAACGAAGAGCCAAAGAACTGGAACAGGAGAGCGAAATCATCACCTACACTCGCGAGGACGCCACCAACCAGGTTAGCACAAAAACTAAAAAATTAAACAGGTCTAGCAAAGCGCTCGTCAAAAAGAAACGCCTCAAACGGAAAATTCAGAACAAAATTTCTATATCGCAAAGACCTAAAAGAGTTCCTAATAGTTTTAACACACCAAAAATAGAAGATGAAGAAGTTACGTTGAAAGAGGATCTTAAAGAAGACAGTGCTATTTCAAATAATTTCGAAAGTAATGAATCTTCAATGGACAGTAACAATTCAGAATCTGATCTGGCTCTATCAGACTTAAAAGGTTCAAGTTTAAATAACTTTGTGGATCATAATTCGCCTAGAACGCGTTCCAGAGGTACCGTAGCTATAAATCTGTGGACCTTAGACATTAGCCCAATCCTTCCGGGCGTCAAACCTGTCAAAAATGCCAAAATTAACTGTACCGGTAAAGAATTACTAGAACATAAAAGGACTTCAAAACGAAGAAAATCTTTGTCGGATGACGAAACCAAACTTTCTGAAGAAGACAGTGTTAAAAAAGTTCGGAAACGAGGTCGACCTAGATTGGTAGATAATTCTGAAGAAGTATCTGAAAAAGATACGGATTCAGTTATTTCATCTCTTCCTGATGAAGATGATGATATAGTTCATACAGATTTAGTTGAAAGTACGGTTATAACAAACCACCATGATGAGGTTGATGAAAACTTAACAGAACCGGTGGAAAATTCTTCACCAAATAAAATATGTAAGATAGTTTTAAACGATATCATAGCAGATGGACATTATAAAATTCCCGAATCTAACAATCACACTGACGCTTTAGAAACCTCTAACCAAATTAACGAAGAAAAACTGAATTCTTTACTGGAAGTTACGGAATCGAACGGTTTGGCAACGCTTGAAAATGACAGTAGTTCCGCTCTAGTCGAAAACAATGACTCTGTTGACGGTTGTGACGAAATCGAAACGCCAAAAGAGAATATATCGGTGAATTTGGATAACGGTATCGAGGAGGATAAATCTGCTAAGCCGTTGTCGAATTTTAAGGCTCCCGAGCCTAGGAAAACTTACAGGAAATTTAATAAAAGCGTAAACAATCAGACTCTCGATTCTTGGATCACGCGGACGTCTACTTCGCCTAAACCTTTAAAAGACGAACCTATTAGTGAAAGCTCGAAAGAATCTGACTAAAACTTTCTAATAAATGTCTTGATTTTAGATCATATACAGGATTTTTCATGCAAATGGTTTGTTAAAAGTTTTTAGGATTTAATTTAGATTCAAATTTAAGGTTATTTCCCATTGTTCTTTTTTTTTCTAGTGAAATTATATACCGGGTGCGTCTTAAAAGGGGTTCATAACTTTTGTCTACAACTTTTGATTTTTAAATGGCACCCTGGGTATTTTTTTACTTTATTCGATAGAAAATTACATTCTGAATAGTATGACATATATGTCAACTTTTCACATTTGAGCATATTATCATTGAGCATATATTTGAAATTATAATATGCGGTTCATGACGAAAAATTGATTCAAATACCAAGTGTGTGGTATCAAATTATTCGTAAAAAAATACTTTTTGCAAATATGCTAATGAGCCACCCTCATTATATTTGAAAAAATTGAGATATGATTAAAAATACTATTTGGGCATCTTTTAACCGGTCAGGACAAGACGCTAAAAACATTAGACTATCAAATATATTTTTCCAAGGCTCCTTGATTAAACATTAGTGTTTTTAACATAGTTATGGCACTCTAGATTAAAATTTAAAATACGATTTTTTATTAAGTGAAAATGTCAAAAATTGACATATGATCTGTCATTCTATTCAGAATGTAATTTTCTATTGAATAAAGTAAAAAAATACCGAGGGTGCCATTTAAAAATCAAAAGTTGTATTCATTTCCGGTGACAGGAAGTAACCGAAAACAATTGAACACGTCAATCAATCCTAATTTATGTCATATACTAACGTACCAAATCTCGTTTTTTTATCTAAAAAAATAAAAAAGTTATAGGGGTGAGCCACAAATATGTCAACAAAAAAGTAAGGTTAGATCAAATTTGGAAAAATATATTATCATACGAAAAGTTAAATTTATTTTAAATTTTTTCCGTTGACGGATAGAGGTCAAAAATTTTCAGACGAAAAGTGGCCACAAAACTCAATGACCGCTCAACGGATGACGGATGACGGATGCATGAAAATCCACTTTAAAATATTTTTTAAAAGATGAGCAACATACATTTATGAAAAATATGCGTTGATGCTGAAAAATACTTAATTATCTTTCAAAAGAAAATGTATTTTTTTATATAAACGTCTATATTCTATAGTCTCTGTGCACCTGACAGTTACAGTTATTGTCTGTCATTTTTTGGATGTCGTCTGTCGAATCTTACCTGACTTGTTTGAGAGACTTTAAACTTTGGTACATGTGGTATAATTATGTATGCAATTTCATGTAGAATTCAAAAATATGGGGGGTATTCTATTTAAAAGAAACCAATTGACAGCCACCTAGTTACACCAGAAATGTGAAAACTTCAAATATTCAAATTTGTGTCAAAATTAAATCCTACCAAACTTTAAATAAACCAGTTTCGCGAAATAACCTGTATACTTTCGTGGATAAAGCTATAACCTTTAAATTATGTTGTCTTCATACATGTTAAGGTGCGTATTCATTATCCGAACGAACGAACGAATGAAAGTACGGTATATTTAGACGGGGACCGAACGCATGCGGCGCTTCGTTCGTTCGTTCGCTGGACCATCCGTTTCGAGTCGGTACATCAAAGGCGTTCGCCAACAAATGCCTCCGGTCTTCTCGTGCGGTTCTATCGTACGGTCCCCGTCCATACCACTAGCGAACATTCGTTCGTTCGGATAATGAATACGCACATTTAATGTGCGTATTCATTATCCGAACGAACGAACGAATGAAAGTGCGGTATATTTGGACGGGGACCGAAGGCATGCGGCCGTTCGTTGGTTCGTTCGCTCGACCATCCGTTTCGAGTCGGTACATCAAAGGCGTTCGCCAAGAAATGTGTCAGGTCTTCTCGTGCGGTTCTATCGTACGGTCCCCGTCCATACCACTAGCGAACATTCGTTCGTTCGTTCGTTCATTCGTTCGGATAATGAATACGCACCTTTACAGACATTTTTTTTATCCCTGTCATACATTTGTATTTTCTGTCTCTGTTAAAACCATCTTTAGCGGTTAGCGATAAATTTAAAATAGACAAGAAAAATACCAGTATATTAATAGTAGCATGCTAGAGTCTGTCCAACGAGAGAATACATGACAGTGATAGTTGTGTCTGTTATTTTAATGCACACGTAAACTGTATTTTCTGCATTTATTGGATATCATGACAGCACAATGCTGACGGTGTATAGCCTAGTTTTATAAAGGCATTTATAAATTCCTGGTATAATATCAGGAATATACCAGTTTATACCAGGTATTTTGTGACAACATAGTTATTTGGACAAATCTTTAGGAATATAGCTGTATCCACGAAGTATATACGATCTAGGGCCTCCCTAACTGTATATACATAAGATATTTGATGTGAATACGATGTGATATATAAATATAGTTATCCACTTTGTATATACTAAATTTAATTATTCTTAGTTTAGTTTTTTTACAGGATTATTGATTTTTACTATGAGTAATTGTAAATTATACGGTGTGAAAGTGTACATGTCGCGTTTAATTTAAAATTCGAAAAAAGCATAATTTTCACGATCGGTTAACAAAATATTTAACTTTTTTAGTCATTGTTGTTGAAAACTGTATTATAAATATCATTATATCGGTGTCTCGTTACTTTCCTTTATCTCTTTTCTTATTCTCTTATTAAAAGTATCATTTTTTTATAGGAATGAAGATCTATAAAGAGATTACGTTAATAGAAATGTGGTGCTGTTAATTATAATACAGGGTATAGATGAATAAAGTGCAAAAAAATCTGAAATTAAATATTCCTAAACCTACTATGACGTTGTTTTTTTATTCCAGCACACGTTATATAAATTACTACGTATTTGTAAATTCTTTTTATAAATTTATAGGAAATTAAAGTAAAAATAATTAAATTTTGATCTGTTTTTTTTTCTGATTAACTTATAATTTCGTCTGGAACATTATAATATACAGTTGTATGTTTTTATATATCGTATTCCATCTTTTTAGATCTGTCATTCGCTTATTTATTTTGTTGGCTTCTTTATGAAAATTATATTTGACGCGGACACGCTTATGAACAGGGAGGGTAACTGGCATCTCATTTTGTACATATATATTATTATTTTACACACCCAGTCTCGTATTTGTTATCTCTCCGATTGTAAATTTGAAATTTATGTTTGGGCATTGTAAGTAAAGTCAACAGACCGAAAAGTTCCATTTTCTTATACTGGCCATGTACATATGTATCGAAATAAGACTAGTATAATGACGTAAAAAAAAGTATATATATAAAAGAAATAAAGAAGTTCTCTTGCAAATGTGCTCGTGTTTTTTTTATTCGTTTTGGGGGAATGGGACGCGGGTTTTGGTGCCTCTTTGCTCAGATATGTCCGCAGCAGTGCAGGGCACCAAAACTTTGCCCGCTGGACATGAGCAAGGGGGCTTCTTTATCAAAACCTGCGACCTTTTCGACCATACACCATTTTATATCCTTTTAATCATATAAAACATATACAGAAATCAATAAAAATTGGAGTGTGCGTTATCAAAGACGTCGAAACTTTTACCAACTTAAATTTCAAATAAAAATTCGTTTTAAATTTAGAGCGCACTTCCTTTTTCTTATAATCTATTCCCTGGCTTTATGTTGGAAGTCATGGCAAATATTGCTGGTTATCACATGATTATTTTTTTGTAAATCTGATATGTCATTTTCGATTTTATTGTTTTTTTTTTCTAATGTCACATTTGTCATTTTTATTTTTATTTCTTTGACAAATTTGAAATCAAATCTGCGTTTTGTTTAGTTAAAACTGCGATTTTCATTGCAATAAAATGTCAAAAATACAAAATAGTCGGAATCAGCAACTTGCCTCGTCTCTATTTATTATTTTTAACAGGAAAGAAGTCATAGGCTAGTCCATATTGCTGTTAAACTGCGTTAGGGAGGTCAAAATTGGTATTGTTGCTGGAGTTCTAAAGCTTTTATTGAAAATACATAGATTTTTCAGCGTGCTTCAACTGCGTTCAATATCAGCTTACAGATGAGTAGAATATCTCAAAAAGTGAAGAACTGATGTAAACCAATTAGAACTTAACATTTTTTAGCTTTTACCCAGAAATTTTGCCAATAGCTTTATTTAATTAGAATTTGTTAAATCTTCGCTTGTCTATGTATTGCCTAAAATTGAAGTGAAAAATCGGTGAGAAAATACTCAATTTGTCACTTGTCAAAAGCCAAAGTAAAAAGCTAGCCCTGACAACATTGCGACGTGTATTCGTCAAACGTTTTAATTACGTACACCCCCAAATTTTATTGATTTTCCTATACATAGAACCCTTTAAGTAAGGCAAAACATTACAGGATTACTCAATTTATAAAAAATCGTTACTAAAAAAAATTAAAAATATTGTGTGAATCAAATAAAAATTTAATGAGACATCATCCCTTAAAATGGTTTACCTTACTTATTTACCACTCTGTATAATTGTGAAACAGTGTTTTCTAAGGTAAGTATCCTCATTTAATACTTCAAGGTCGCAGGTTATGGATGAAAACAAAGTACTTATGGATGTTTGTATATTTGTTTTCAGGTATGGGTTTCTGATAACACCATGGAACAAATGCCGGTAAGTAGTGTGCAATATTATAGTTTCCTTCTTCCAGTGCCGGCTCGTAAATACTTTTTAAGGATACAAAAATAAATATAATCGCTGCAAAACTCACTATGTCAGTATCTTTGTTTATTCTAATGAATTTATTAAAATTACAGTAGTTGACGTAGCGCGGTTATTGTACAAACTATAGGCTTGGTACATTCTCCGCCGGTGCTGCCACCATCAGAGAATACCATTAACCGACTTAAACATACCACGACTTAAACATACCATCATACCAACAACCGACTTAAACAAATACATTCTAAAAGTGTTAGGAAGTATCTCCTCTTCTTACAGTGCCATACTCTATATAGAGCGTCGGCTACCTCTCGCATGTACTTGTGATGTGTGTCATCAGTGTTTCACAAGTACACGGGACCTGCAGTTTATTACCGAAGCCGAACGGCATATTTGAGAGGCTGTACAAGGCAAATATACTCAAGGTGGTTAGGAAGTATAATTTGCGAAAATTCTAAAAAAAATAAAAATCAATATTTTAATATTTTCAGAAGGTCTAACTTGTAATTTATTATTCAAGCTAATAAAACTTTAGATCCGTTCAACTACGGTAGCGAGCATAGTTTTACGCACCGGTTTTGCTAGTGGGGACATAACTGAGGCTATTTAGGCTGATTATGTAATGGGCACTTTGTTTACTTACTTGCTTTGTCGAACTGACTGAATCTATTTTTGCTTTTGATCAAATCGTTGTGGGGAAGCTAAGAAGCAATGTTGTTCCGGGAGAATTGTATTGTAATTGCACCAACTTCGCAATTACGCCCTACTTTTCGTGTTGACATTTTTTCGGCAATTTTATTATCATCTGAAATCTTTGAATAAGAAGACTAAGGAAGGAGCATAATGCTATCCATGTATTCATGCATGGTGGGCGGAAAAAGCGCCATAAAAGCACTCTAGGGTGGGGATCCTTGACAGTTCTGTTTGACGATTCATTTGACACATTTGAATTTGATTTGAAATTTTGTGGATTTGTCAGTCTTTACGGAGCTTATTTTATGTTATTTATTATTTATTCTACTACTGATAGTTGTATAAAGGTAGTAAATCTAGATGGAAATTGTGGCAGCACTTAAATTAACAGTGACACTATCGCGATTTATCGAAAAAGACTCTAAAATAGTTGCTTGTGTAGCGTGCGGTAAATCTCGGCAAAAATTGAGTGAAATAATGGAACAACTTTTCGCTAGTAAGTGACTATATAATATACATACGTGTGGTAAATCAATCATTTATGAAATTCACTTAAATTAACTAAATTATATATTTTTCTTGCATTTTAGCTTTTATTTATTACTTGTCAAAGATTAGATGTCAAAGAATTTAGATACGTTAATTTGACTTACCTGCTTCAGTAGTGTATCGGATGTTTGTGGTAATAAATACTTATTATAACTTATCTATTTTTATTAGAATTATATATTTTTATAACAATTTTAATAACTACCAACATTTATTTACAACGTAAAATAAAACAACAAATTATTGAGTCTACCGCACGTCTACCCTACATCATAGTTTTACATTTTTTAAATAAAATTAGAACCACACTGATAAACCGGAATTTAAGTCGGCCATATTTGAGGCCCATCGCGGTGTACCTAAGATTTTTGATATGCTCCTTCCTTAGTCTTCTTATTCAAAGTCTGAAATTGTCACAATACAACGCGAAGCCCAAAAGTAAAAACCAAAATAATTAAATATTTATGACATAGCCACATTTTTAATATTACTTTGATGCGATCAACATGAACGGTAACCGGGACTGCGTGAAATACTGGTCCTGAAAGTTCTGATTTCTACCGTAGCGAGCGCTGCTGTCGAAATTTTAAACATCAACTGAAATGCACCAAGCCTATAGTAGGTACTGCAAAATCCCTGATGTAAGAACATATAATTTTAAAACAGAGATCTAGGGAAGGGATTTCTATAGAAAAAGTATTTAACTTTTTTACACTTTAACACTTTAGTGCTGTGATTTGCGCTGCTATTTGTCGAAATCGTGTATTCTTTCGTTTGGCCGACTATATAATTATCGAAATGTATAAATTGTTACTTTCATAAATAATAAAAAAATAATTGCCTAATCTTAAACAGATGTGGTGTCCACCAACTCCTCCCCAGCAAGATACCGACGTCTACATGGACCAAACCATGTCGTTCCTCTACGACAACAATGTCATGTCTGAGTCTCAACTGCCGCCCATTTACGTCAAAAGAGAAACTAAACGCCGACTAGATCCATCCTACGGTATAGACTGCAGACGCCCGTTGAAAATACCTAGAAAAGAGGAAGTCTCCAACGCACCGAAATCTTTGTTCCATTCACCGGCCCTGATGAAAATGAGACGCGATCTCAAACTTCAGAAATATCAGAGGGGTTTGATCAGACCGTCACTAGCGATACCTGGGAAATCTAGTTCAAAAAGTTCTGAGCACTCGTTGTACCACAACTGGACGATTCACGAAGATATGGCTCTTTTGAAGGTGATACAGACCTTTCAACGTTTGCCGCTGGACTTGATTGTAACAATGCCTGGGCAGACGCCAAATTGGGATTTCGTAGCTGATTATGTCAATTCTGTCTCCGTTACGTACAGGTCTGCCAAACAGTGCAGACAAAGGTAAGATGGTGTTTTAAAAATATGTCTTGAGTAAAATAATCAAGGATGGCTTAATATACATTTTATATTATTTACCGTTCTCTTTATTTTTTCTTTGGATTTTATACTTTATGATCTGTCAGTCAACTTCAACAATTCGTGTAATTCTTAAAAGTTTCTGGTCTAACTTTTTCCGGTTTTTCAACAAGATCAAACAACATTGATAAGTTGTTCTTCCTATTTCCTCCTTTTGATGAAGCTCTCATTCAGAACCTTGAATTTAGTGAATTTCTACAGTGAAGCTTCATTCAGAACCCCGCACTTTATGCTTTTGAGTTTACAATAATTCACAATGTGTAATAAACAACTAAAATTAATAAAATATTCTAGCAACAGCGGTAACCAGTTATATCCAAAGAGAAAGTCTAATATTTAGTTTATAAAACAATAACCTTTTGATTTTTAACCACAATTTCTCTTGACGGAAGATAATCAGAGGACAAAATGACATTCCTCGGAAATTTTGAAGTATAATTAGTGGAAAAGTTAAAAGTTTGATAACTTTCTACTAATTGAAAATTACTACCACTAATTTTTACGTTCTGAATGCTTACATTGAAATTAGAGGAACGAACTTCTACGCTAATTGAAACCACTAATTTATTCCACTAATTGCGAGGTTGTGAATGAAGCTCGACTATCAGGAGTTACTGTAGAATTTCCTCAATTCCTTTTTATACCTCTAAAAAATTTATATTATTTTATACCTCTAAAATGTTTATTGTTTTATAAGGTTTTATAAGCTAATTTTCAGCCTTTCTCTGTGGGTACCGCAAGCTGTCGCTAGGATATTCTATTAATTTTAATTAAATTTCTCTACCTACTAATGATCGCAAATTCTTAAGTAAAAAGTATAATTGAAACAACTAATTTCGGGTTTCTGAATAAGGCTTTATACTTTAGACTTAGAGTTTTCAATCATTGAAAATGTTAAAAAAATCCAATTAAAATTGATAGAATATTCTAGCAGCAGCTTGCATTAGTCAGTTGATTACAAGGAAAGCTAATAATTAACTTATAAAACAATATACTTTTTTATTTCTAACCACAATTTCTAATGACAGATGATAATCTTAAGGCCAAAGAATGAAATGGAAAAAGTTAAAAGTTTTTTCAACTTTTTTTAATAATGAAAAAGTACGACCACTAATTTTGAGGTTCTGAATGTAGTACAAACGCTATTTTTTGAGCCTACGTTCCCAAATGTATCTGTTATACAAAAATACTTTTTTAGGTATGAAACTCATCTGATTCACATCGAAGAAGGCAAATACGCAGCCTTGGATAACGCGATGCGCAAGAAGAAAAAATCTGGCCAATTACAAAAGGTATCTTTACCAAATAAGTCCAGACCTTCCATGCGCACGCTCCAGTTATACAACCAGGACAACAACGCCACGTTCACACAGCTATTGGTTGACAGATACGATATTTTGAAATCCATATCGAACAAGCGCATGCCCACTACAAGGACGGTAGTGAACAATCCTTTGATGAACAAAACCAAGAGCTCGCATGTGCTTAAGGAGTGCGGTATCGACTTGGAACACCCTATATCTCCGGTAGAGGTGGCAGCTAGACGAGCTGAGCGTATAGCTAAAGAGAAGAAAACTGTAACTAGCGAGCAAATGGCAAAGCTGCAGCTGATGAAACTAGCTAATCAGCAGAATCAGGCGTCTTCTTCCACAGCTTCTACGTCAAATCAGACGTCACAGTCTACTTCGGGAGTACCTGTAGTGGCTATTTCCACGACGCAAGTTGTGGTTTCACAGTCACCTGTAGTGGTTACTACGACTGCAGTGGCGGCGACTACACCAGGGACCTCACCAAGTAAGTTGAAATATACGGTTCTGGTCATAGTACGAGAACTAGCAACGTCTGGAAAACAAGTATTTTAAGAAAGCTGGCTCTTTAATATATCTTTTTCTATGCTCTCTGGAACAGCGGGCAGGCCGTCTGGCTGCCGATAGACGTGTTCACTGCTGCGCATTGAAAGAAGTTCCCATATTTTTATTTAGTCCTATAAATTCTAGTATTGAATATAAATCGAACAAGTCTCCTTAGCGCGGCGCGAAAACTTTCCGCCTATAGAGTGAGAAGTCCAGAGTTCAATACCGGCTCGGGGTAGACTTTTTTTTTATTTTATTTCTTCTTATATTCTGATAGTAACGTATTAAATAATTCTGGTGATTAAAAAAAACAATTATTTAATAGTTTACTAGCAGAATATAAACGAAAATAAAATAAATAAAAGTTTACCCCGCGCCGGTATTCAACTCTGGACTTCTCGCTCTATAGGCGGAACGTTTTCGCGCCGCGCTAAGAAGACGTTCGATTTATATTCAATACTAGAATTTAAAGTGTGTCACACTGTAATTACTATGTCGTCCTTTATTTTAGGTACATTGAGAACTCAAAAAATAATCGCATCACCTCTTCAGACTTCAACTGTTGTTTCTGGTCTGAGTCCTGCGCAGCTTCAAGCTGCCACCCAGCGGCTCATAGTGACAGCTGGTGCGGCAGGCCAAGCAAAAACCGTCGTTGGCAATGCTGGAGTATCCGGTAAACAGTTGAGTCAAGCTCAGCTTCAACTGATTCGACAGGCATCGCTTAAGTCTCATTTGAGAATAGCGAATAGTTTATCTCAAGTATGTCTACAGAGAAATCAATATAGGTTAGCGTGCACGTCATCAAAGTCCATTCGTCATATATTTTGATGACATGTACACCAACTTTCATATATAAAACAACATCAAAAAAGAACGGTGTTTTCTAGAGGTTTTTATTTTAGGTTGGCAAGACTTCCACTGTAACCATTGGCGGACAACAAGCAGTGGTACAGTTCACGCAGGCTCAGCAACCAAGAGCTCAGTTTGTTAGGCAAGGCACGGTCACTGTCGGTGGGAAAGCAGGCGTGACAAGAACTGTCACTGACAGTGAAGTGGCGCAGTTACTCAAGAAGCAGCATCAGCTTCAGCAACAGAAGCTTGCAGCTGCTGGAAACGCACATGTTTGTCAAATTACAACTGCAAAATCGATGTTTTGTTATTGACATTATTTTTTAGGCGGGTAATTCAAGTGGGGGTGGTACAATTCACGGGTTGTCGCCTCAAGTTTTTGCGCAGGCTATTCAGCAAGCTAGTAGTTCCGGTACTCAGGTAGCTACATTGGTTAAAGCTGTTCCTAGTTCGTCAGGAAGTAAGTATTGTTTAATTAGAACATTAAACGATGTAATTTTTTCAAAACCAATATTTACGAAGATAGTTTTTGTTTAAAATACACGTAAACATCCTGTGGGCACTAAATTATAGCAATAATTATCGTATTTCTAGCGAGTCAAACCGTAACGATACCTGTAACAGGAGTTACACTTACCACTCCCGGTGCCAAGACTATAGCTCCGCCCATCAAATGCACTACGCCCCAATTTCGACAGATGCAAATCCAACAGCAGCTCCTGGCCCAAAAACGACTGGCAGCAGGTCAGAAGTTGAGCATAGCCCAAGTAGGAGGCAAAAGCAACGTCCAAACTCAACTGATTGTGGGCTCGAAGCCTCTGTCCACCGCCATGACAGTTCAGCAATTCCAACAAGTGATCAGGGCTCCGCTGAACGTTTCTCAGACTCCTGTGGTTTTAGCAAAGGGTACTCCAAGGGTTATACCAGTTAATACTGGGCAAGGCACCAAGCAGACTATTCAGGTTAGGCTTGAAACTTTTTTTTTGTAATCCTTATAGCCTACATGTATAAAATAGTTAGCTTTATTCTTGTTGGAAATATATGGCGACATTCGATTCTTCTTATTAATTTTTGATATTTTATGATACTTAGGTTGTGGCAGCTACATCGCAAGGTCTGGGTGCTGCTCTTAGACCGCAAGGTGCCACTACAATAGCCGGCATAAAGCTACAGGGTGCTACGAGTACGTCTCAGCAGGCTCTGTTATCTCAAGTGTCTGCCGCTTTAAGTCAGAGTGCTGCAAGACAGGTATGTTTATTATATTCAGTAGTTTTTTTTTGTCTGAAATGTTTACAAAAATTACCGCTACATATTTCTTACTGTTACATTTTCATAATTATTTTTCCTCTTACTAAATATGTTTAATATGTTTAAATATCAGCAGTTTTTTATTTCTTATTATTTAACTTATTTTTTCTAAATTAAATATCAATTTTTGATTAATTTTTATGTCAATTTTTAATAAATGACATACCATATCGGCAAGAGACAGTTTTGGGTCGGTATGTCTAGGAGGCGATGTCAATCACTATGGCGACACAATCTTTGTACACATGAAAATCGGCATCCAAAAGCAGACCTTGCCGATCCGAATGTTCGTCCAACAGAAATTCTCATTCAAAAGGCTACTATGACATCGTTTTTTTAAATCGTACTTCATTTTTGCTACAAACGCCTATGGTAAATTGGGAGATAAAAATTACACTCTAAAATGCCCATCACTGGTTAATATTTCATTTTTTATTTTTTTTTATTTTGTAATAACCTATACAGGGTGAGTCTTAAATAAGTGCAAATATTTTCAGGGCTGTTAGATTTCGATAAAAGAAACATATTTTCTCTTTACCTTTTTTCAAATAGGTTCAAAATATCCAAGATATTTTACTTTGAAAAAAAAGAAAACGATTTTTGCTTATTTTAGAGCCACTGGATATTTTCTTTTTGTAAATTTAATTATCTAAGTTTTTTACTTAACTAAAAATTAAAAACATTTCCAAAATTTTTTTGAAATAATTCCAAATTTTCAAAAAACTCATAGGCGTGTTCCTGGGTTGGAAGAAGGCTTTACTTAAACTGCCATTAAACGGGAGCTTACTAAAATGCCGTTAATAGGTATGACGTTGATGTGACGCACTTGACGGCTTTATGAAATATAGGAATTTTATAAGGACTAACCAACGCTATCCACCCCACCAAATAACCAACGCAACTAACCTCGGCACTGATAAAAAAAATATAAAAAACAAATATAACTTAGTAAAAACCAACCAACCCCACCAAATAACCAATGAATTAACACCCTCCAAATAACCACGCTAACCAACCCGCCAAATAACTAAACTAATCTACCAAAAAAAAAATAAAAAAGTCTTGGTCGGCGTGAGATTTGAACCACGGACCATTCGCTCACGAAGCGATAGCCTCAGCTACGGAGCCACAGGTGCTCTTGCAAAATGCTTATACCCAGGCATTACTTTTCGCCTAAATGAACGACGTCACAATATCTATTAACGGCATTTTAGTAGGCTACCGTTTAACGGCTGTTTAAGTACATCGTTGGAAGAACACGTCTATGAGGTTTTTACATTAAAGAAAAACCAGAAAAAATCCAGTGCTTCTCAAAATTTGAGCGAAAAATCATTTTTTTTTGGAAATTTTCAAAGTAAAATATCTCGGTTATTTCGACTTATTTGAGAAACGAAATAGAAAGAAAATATGTTTCTTTTATCGAAATCTACCGGCCCTGAAAATATTTGCATTTATTTAAGACTCGCCCTGTATAGTCTGTTCAACGAATCAGAGATTTCGACACACATTTCCTTTAAAAAAATGACAGAAAATACAGTTTGCCTGACCAAACCAAACCAAACTGTCACTGTCAGGGATCATCTCACTGGACAGTATATAGCTTAGGTATTCTGTGGTTTCATGTTATAAAAAGAATATCGAATTATATGTATCATGGTAACTTCCCGGTTCCCGATAGATCACCGAAGTTAAGCGACCTTAGACGATGGGAGTGGATGGACGGGTGACCGTCTGGAAACTTTGTCGTGCTGTTTACCATCCAGATAGCCCCAGTTATATTCCATATAGCAAGACCGGTGCGTAAAATTATGCAGAACATACTTCATACCGTAATTGAAGCAGCCAACATGTTATTACTCAATTGTTAATTAAATTACTAAAGAGTTTTATTTGTTTGTATAATAAATTATTATACACGTCAGACGTTAGACGGTCCCTGTGTATGGACGGCTGACCGTCTGGAAACTCTGTTGTGCTGTGGTTTCATGATAAGAATGTAAAATCTATTGACACCACTGCTCGTTCAAGCCAGTTCTAGGCCGGATGAAGTTGGATATCTCGTGAGTAACTCACCAAGTCGGTAGGCCATTTGCAATGATTTGGCCGAGGACTGCGGTTCGAATTCCGCATAAACAAAGTAGGCCTCGTGCAGATTAGCCTTAGCAGCAAAAAGGAGACAATAGAGAACAACGGCGCAGACTACAAACACGTAAACGTTTACGTACGCCTGCGCATTTCTTATGTTTTTTATTTTTTATACACGTAAAAGATTCTTTACGTCTACGTATATACCTAAGTATATAACTTAAAATACTTTACTTTTACTTGACTTTTTACAAGAGGGACGTTATCATTTCACTGTATTTTTTTTCCAGAATAGTCCAGTTCGAATCCAGACTGCCAGTGGCCAGCCGATTGTCGCCGTGACTGTACAGTCTCCGTCACAAGCTGGCCAATCGCCATCCCCAAATCCCGATCAAGTAAGTAGGTTTTTGAAGAAATAACCTGCTAGAACGGAAATAGCCACTTGCTTGAACATTTATTCTTTTTGTGTACGTCTTACCCTAAATGTGTCATCCCAATTCCAGCTACCATGTAGAATGTGTTTTGTCATACCCAATATTTTTGTTGAGAGTTTTCTGAGACATCTGTATATTATGTATATACTTTATAAAATTTATTTTTATAATCGTCAATAACTTCAGTAAAGCTCGCACTGAAATGTTATTTCTATACCTATTATGACGTCTTTTTTTTCTGTATCAGTTGGAATTTTTGTTTTTATCGTGTTAAAATCTGTAATTAATTCAAATTATAAAAGAATACTGAAAACTGAATTATCAGAAATATGTTTTTCGTATAAATATTCATTACTACACAAGTGCGTAATGAATATATGAAATTATAATAAAACATAATTATACAGGGTGAATTAACGATAAGTTATCTATTTTCTTTGTTTTGATAATTTTGAAAAAATGTTAAATATAGTCTGTCCAACGAGAAGATCCTTGACAGTGATATATGTGTCTGTCATTTTAATTTCAAAGTAGTTTATTTTATTTTACAAAGAAATAAGTTGGTACAACTGGAACGCATAGCAGGAAATTAATATATGTATTTAAAATTTGACTGACAAGTAACTTCAAAATATTGTGAATAAAACTGCATAAAACTGAAAAAATGTAATCGAGTTATTTTTACTTACCGAATTTTATACCTCACAGGTTGATTAATTAACTTTAATCTTAATTTTTTTAAACCAGTACCTTTTGACATTATTTTTCTGCAGTAGATACTAAAATCCATTATTTACGACGAGATGGTATACGAACTTTATTGATAGTAACTTTATTGGTGTATCTGTATAAGGTATAAGACTTTCTGCTTGGGCAGCGAGTATTAACCATAAACTGCTCTGGGTTCTACAGTTAATTTTCACTCGATTTTTCCTCCACTTGACTTCAAAAGACACAAAACTCACGTAATAACACGAATCAAAATACATCATCTTCCAAAACGCAGGGTATTTGACAAAAGTTGTCACAAAATTATAACCTATAATTTGGCAAGACTTTGACAAACGTCAAAAATCTAAAGGCGAGTTCATACGCATCGGCGTCGGTTTGTCGTTCATCGTTCCGTCAAACCAATAAAATTGAAATACGATCTGTCATTTTTGAAATAAACCAATAAAACTGGTTAAAAACAACAAGTGACGACGCATGACTAATTTATATTTAAACTCATCCATAGTTAACTTAAAAATTATTAGAAACTTTTTTTAGTAAAATAAATAGATTGGTATGGGACGTCATCTGCTTTTCTTCTGTCATCGTCTGTCGAAATCTTACCTGAGAAAAAAAATAGAGTATAGGAAAGTTGTAATAAATGTTAAGATACTCAATTCAACATTATTTTTCACTATACAGCTTTTTTTTTAAACTGTGAAAATATACAGGGTAAGTCTTAAATAAATTCAAATATTTTTAGCGGTAGTAAAAAATAAATTTGAAAATTTGGAATTTTTTTATTTTTTTTATTTTTAGATATATCGATGGATATATCGATATATGGAGAAAATCTCATTCCTAGTTGCCTTTAAAAGACATGTTATATTCGTCACATTTTTTGAAACACCCTGTGTACTCAAAAATAATTTTAAAATGTGTCTACCTTTCCTAAAACTTCTTTCTATTTAACATTTTATCGTAATTCTCAAAAAACAAACAAAATAATGAACTTTAGTCTATCATTGGCTCACCCTGTACATTAAGAATAATCTTTTTTACGCGTTTATTATAATTATAGGTGTTTATTATAAGTTTGCTACGACAACCCTTATACCATTTCCTATTCCCTTATATATTTATGTTAATATATTTAGCAAATTCTTTCTCTGTAAATATTAAACGAATTTAGTTTCTATCAAAACTATAAACTGTGCTGTGATATTGGAAACAATATTAGACGATGTTTTCATTAAATAATAGTATTAACGATATATTAATGTAGGTTCATGTAATATGTTTTCATTATTTTTTTTATTTAAGTAAGTGATTTATATAGGCATCGGCAAATTCTGTTTAATTTTAGGCAAATAAAAATTCAGTTTTTTGTATAAAATGTTTTGTTTTATTTTTTTTTTCTGTTGAAACTTGCCTGCTTTTTACCTGAGTATAACTGAAGATTATTTTTTCAGCAGGAGTAAAGAATCTTCTAAAGAAGAATATAAATAAATGTACATAATAATTTTATTGTTAATAAAATACGATAAAGCGCACATGTTGTTTTATTTACCTGAAGTTCAGTAACCTGGCGAAAATTATAAAAGTAAATAGGTAGTGTAAATTTTAGTTATATACTAAGGAAATATGTTATATATGATCTATAAGGTCGCGGTGATTAACTCCCCTCCTAAACATTCTACATTCTACAAGGAAATATGTTACATACATGTTTATATTAAGTAAATTTCTCTTTTTAAAGTGGTTTTTTACGTTTAAAAATATATAATGTAATATGCTAAAGTGCTTAAAAAAATAGAAATAGGTGTATGTTTGGTTGCATAAGATCGTTTAAAGAATTTAGCATTTGCTAATGGAAGATAAATCAGTGTCATGATGCACTACTGTTGCCAAGTCTTCAATTATTTCTGAAATTGTTGGAAACTACTTTTTTCAGGAATGAATGAATAAAAAATTCTTAACGTAAAAAACTATGTTTTTGTAAGATAGGTTTTTACGTTCTCTATGAACGTAAAAATTCTTTAAAAACACCATTAACTGTTAATGACGGTTATTAAAAAAAATATATTTTTTAGTATATTTGATATCACAGATAACATAATTATTTAATTAACAAGATTATGTTATCTGTGGTAATATGTATTTTTTATTTCGTGTAAAATCGAAATTTAGAAATGTAAAATACAAAATCAATTGTAATAACCACTGAAAACGTAAACATTCATATATTTTCTGATTGTAATAATTCAAAAACATCTGTATTCTGCTTTTAAAATCACTTATTATGAAATTTAATAATTTTGCTGTCCATTACCTAATGTTGACAACTTAAAACCAATCGGAAAATTTTTTGCTGATAAACAGTGGAATTGGCAACGTCGAATTTTCATCTTGTCTCAGCTGTGAAAATCAGTTCAGTGTCAAAAAGCACCCCAAGTGGTTTGTTCGTCGTCCTGTTCAGAAAATTTATAACCTAGCGTGCTTTTTGTTTACGTTGTGTAATATTTAGATAAACTGTAATTGTGTGTCGTTGTCCCTTAGAACAGAAAACAACAATCGACAGAGAACTTCTACAATCTTCGGTGAGTACCATAGTATTCGTAGATTTTCATTTTATTTCCATGAAATATTTTTTTACAAAACTACTAACAATATTATTCTTGATAAATTTAAATAGTACGCGTTGTTTATTAAAATTTTACAAGCACTCTACGTGATTTTCGAGAATTAAATAAAAGTAATTTCATTATGTACTAGACAATCTAACGGTTCTATTATGTAGTTCGTGATCTATTTACATTTGCCAAACATTAAGGTTACTTTTGACAAGTGAAATTTTTTTTTCGATTTTTTTATTATTTTAGACTTTGTTTCCAAGGAAAGCGAAATGTTTTTTATATATTTTTAAAGGTGATAGTTTGATTATAATGATATATTAATTAGGATGGAATAATTTTATTAACAGTATATTTTAATCTCATTTTTTATCAATGCACTTATTGCATTTTTATGGATTCTATCTTCCTGTAAAGAAATTGTGTGGTTTTTAGATAAATAAACCACGATAAATACTGTGCTATTGAATAATTTTCTAACGGTGTAATTACTCTGATAAGACATCTCCTTATTGTATTTTATCTTCTATAGTCTTTCAAGCATAAAGTACACAGAAATTCAACTAAAAAACATTGCATCGAATTTCTGGTCGAACAGAATGATCAACAATTTTAAACTAATTACAGGAAGGTAAACTAATTTACATTGTTTAGTTTGTTATGGACAATTAGTAATTGTTTCTCTGGCATAATTAGTGTTAAATTTCGATATTGTATACGTACAACAATGACCTATGCAAACATCTGTTTTTGATGGGGTTTAAAATTAAATATTCCGCAGATCAACTGCAGAGGGATCTCGCTCAAGTTTTCTAATTTATATTCAGGGTGATGTCAAGAAATTAAATCTTGTTGGGAAATGGAAAAAGCTCCTTAATTTCGGATTCATCTCACTTTAATGTCATGAAACTTTTAAAAAGATTAATTATATATTTTGGCTTGTTTAATTATTTTTTTCAAATTAAATATAGCAAGTGGGCTATTAATAATTTACAATCTACTTTATTATAAGTGTGTTTTATAAATAGTATTTTCATTACACCACATGGAAGAGCTAGATAATATTACTTTATTAAATAGGTCAACATACAGGGAAAGGGTAATGATGTTAGACGTTTACACGGATAACCGTTTTGTTAAAACTGTACTAACTCACTGACGATTTTTATGAAAATTTTGATACCTACACAAACGCAACTTTCCATCTAAAACTTTGAATAAAAAGATTAAGGAAGGAGCTTATTATATACATATGTACGTATAGAAAGTTCAACTTTAATTAAGTTGAAATCACAATTTTATCAATGCAAAATCCTGTATCATGTGTAAAATGCTTTAATTAGTTTTTCGAAAACTATTTGAGATAGATATTATTTAAAATTCCCAATTTTCAAAAAGAATTACAGGTTCTTTATGGACGTTTAACTTACCGTTGACCGTGAACCACCCTGTATAGTATGTGGTTGTAAATTAATGATATACAGACGAGAAACTTCGGTAGTATATGCTGCAGATAAAAATAAGTAAAATAGTTCGTATATGGTTCGTATAAATAAATGTCCTATAATGTTTTGTTTCGGAGATACAAGGTGTAGAAGTTTTATTTTTCAAATAATTTCTGAATTAACGTCGATATTTGGATGAAAATTTATGTCTGGGTGTTTTTTGACCTGAAAATGTTGATTTCGATATCAATATTACTCCTACCTGTAAGGGGCGTCACCTACATGTTTTTTAACTGTTTTAGAGGGTAATAAATTTTCCCCCGTGCCTATATGAGACTACTGAGTGAAAAAATATACATTTCCGTCATTTTTTACGTAAAAAAAGTCTCTTGGTAAAAATATGTACGAGCAACCGTTTTCAAGATATTTGGAATGGAAATAGTCAATACATATCATCATTGACAAAAATAATCACGTTGACTAGATAGTTATTTGATTGAAATTATAAATTTGGTAACTTTTTGTTTTTTTAAATTAAATGATAATTAAATGATAAATTTTTCTAGAAAAAAAAATGATAAAACAGTTTTAAAAACTTTGACACAAAAACATTTCAAATTCTAATAAATATCTATTGGTTAATTTTAGTCAATGATGACATGCATTGACTACTCGATTGACTTTTTCGATTCCAAATATCTTGAGAACAATCTTACTCATAGCGATTTTTACCAAGAGACCCTTTTTTTACGTAAAAACGGCGGAAATGTATATTTTTTTACTTGGTAAAATATACGAGGACGTACGAAATGTTATTACTCTACAAAACAGATAGAGAACATGTATGTGGTGCCCCCTACAATTAGGAGTCGTGTCAAAAAACTCGGACACACCAATTTTCATCCAAATATGGATGTTAGTTCAGAAATTATTTAGAAAAAAAAACGAAATAAAAATGAAAGTTCTACACCCTGTATCTCCGAAACGAGGCATTTTAGGACATAAATTTATACGAACTTTTTTACTTATTTTTATTTACAGAATATGTTACCGAAGTTTCCCGAATACAATTAGAACCACCCTGTATACAGGGTGTCTCAGATTTTTCAGAAATAAAACAAACAAAGAACTTTCAAAAATAAACTTTCAAAAATAAAACAAAAAGTTCATATCAACTTGTAAGATTTAAAGCTTCCTTTTCGAGATACAGGGTGTCAAAGTTACTTAAAAGAGAAAAAAAAATTAAGATATTTGAAAAACCATTTAATCGATTTTGATATAACTTGACCCGTTTATAATACTTACTATGGGACTTAATTTGATGTAATTAGATTTAAGTTTAATGGCCAGGGGCGGCAATGGGGCATCACTGTTAAATTATTTTAAAGGAAAAATAGGCACGCCACTGCTTTTTTAGAAGTTTAATATTATTTTTGGATTTAGTAATTAAAAATATTATTTTTTTGTCTCCTGACTTTTTTGTCTATCTTGCTTACTTCTTGTGAAAAAACACTGCAGGGTGGAGTGAATAAATGAATTTATTTTTTTTCGCAAGAAGTAAACCAGAGAGACAAAAAAGCCAGGAGACAAAAAAATAATATTTTTAATTACTAAATCCAAAAATATATTAAACTTCTAAAAAAGCAGTGGCGTGTCTATTTTTTCCTTTAAAATAATTTAACAGTGATGCCCCACCGCCGCCCCTGGCCATTAAACTAAAATCTAATTACATCTAATTAAGTCCCATAGTAAGTATTATAAACGGGTCAAGTTATATCAAAATCGATTAAATAGTTTTTCAAATATCTTAATTTTTTTTCTCTTTTTTAAGTAACTTTAACACCCTGTATCTCAAAAAGGAAGCTTTAAATCTTACAAGTTGATAGGAACTTTTTGTTTTATTTTTGCAAGTTCTATTGTCTATTAAATTTTCCCGATTAAAGTCTGAGACACCCTGTATAATAATATTTTAGTAGTTCATTTCAAGATTTTTTACATTTTTTCATTTATTTCAATGAAGGACGCTAGCTCTGAACTATTACTTAATACAGAATGATAGTACGATAGGTAGAACCGTAGAACCCCGTAGAACATCGTATAAAAAGGTGAGTCATCAGTTGTAAAAGAATACTTATTGAAACAATGGCAGTGGGCTACTGGCTACTGTTATATGCAAATGAAGTTTGTATATGAGGAAGATTAAATGTTAAATGCTTTTTCTTTTTCTGTTACAAGCGTAGTGCTTAAGTAATTGTTGGCATAGTTTTTTTTCTATTTAGTTAATTAAAAAATGGTATTTTCCCATGTATAAGGTTTAAGAGAAAACTAAACGGAAATAAGAATTAAATCTGTAACGAATTGAATAAATATGAAAGTTTCGTGGTTTTTGATTTGTGTAACAAAAATATTAAATTTAAGTTTAAAATTGGAGAAAAAGAATTGTTTCAGATATTCTAGTCTAATGAAGGTAAATCTCGTTATTTTCAGGAGGGAAAAGCTTACTTTTATAGTTTCTTATTTATAGGTTTAATGATGTAACAGGGCTTGTGTTCCTCATTAGGTATTTGAGAACAGCTGTTTGCTATTCAACAGACATGTATATTTGGGAATAAATAATGATTCTTTTTATACACATGTATGTATAGGTATAGTTATGAAGCTATTTCTGTAGATCCAGGAAATAATCTTCAAATTATGTTAAGAACTATAAGAGTCTTAATTATATACAGGGTGAGTCTTAAATAAGTGCAAATATTTATAGCGGTAGTATATTTCGACCCGAGAAAGACAATTATGAGGTTTTTTTCGCGAAAATTTTTTTTTGAAAATTTGGATTTTTTTTTAGTTTTTAGAGAAAAAACATAATTTGTTGATATGGCAACATAGGTAGTAGATTAAATTTACAAGAATATCCAGAAAATATTCAGTGGTTCTCAAAATCTTAGCAAAAATGTATTTTTTGGTAATTTTCAAAGTAAAATAACTCGGTTATTTTGGATTTATTTATTTACCAGCCCTGAAAATATTTGCACTTATTTAAGACTCACCCTGTATAGAGGGTGGTTCACTTTTTAGTAGCAGAACGGTGAATTCCTTTCTTAAAGCTTATTTTAGGAGAAAAATCATATCAATATGTATACTGAATGACAAAAAAAGAACACCTATACAGGGTATCCCAGAAATAAGTTGAAATATTTTAAGGGGGTGGTAGATTTGGCAAAAAAACATATTTTCTCTTTACCATTTTTAAAATAAATTGATAGCAACCGAGTTATTTAACTTTGAAAATTTAAAAAAATAATGGCAACATTTTGAGAGTCGCCGGCAGCGATCGATAATCAGCCGCAAATACCAAGCAATTACCCGGATCTTAGCTTATTCGACGCCCAGTGTTAGGTTAGGACACATCGACTAGAAAGTTTTAAAAACGACTTGAAAATTTCAGATTAAAAGTAACATATACATACAGCCGTTACTCGCTGACGAGTATTCGACACACATAAAGAAAATGGTCACGCAAGG